TAAATTTAATTTGCGCGATTCCGCAACGCCATGTCCTTTAATACACTCTGCAGATTTAAAAATTCGTTGCCAAACTTTGTTATCAAACCACGATCAATGTTACGATAGCAATTCAACTCCAGGTAATGAAGCGAAATGCTATTTAGAAAAACTTTCAGACCTAAAACTAAACGCTGCTGTTAAAAACCGATGCCTCGTTGATACTTCTGCTGCATTCAGATCCAATAACAATAGAGAAGACAATATTGGAAAAGAAAATACAGTTTCTCACAATAATAAGGAAAGCAAAGGAGTTGCTTATCGTAGGAGTGTTGAGTCAGCCGCAAAAGATATGAAATCATCCACTCCTAAACAAAATATTTGCAGGAGTGTTAACCTACTGTCATCTTTCTTAACGGCAAAAAGCATCAGAAGTTTCGAAGTGGATTCTTCGCCATCATCTGTCCTTAAGGATAATTTGAAAAAACACTCGGGTAAGTTGTGTTAACAGCATTTAATCTATTTGGTTGATAAATGCAGTAATCTGCCAAAAAATTAAGTCTTCTTTAAAGGTTTGGGGCAGTATAACAAAGGGCAACGTATTAAAATAGTTTAGGAGCTCCTTTTTGGTGAAAAAAAACTATGATTTTAAACTACACAATAGGATAATTCCACGTATTGTGCCGCTATGTAGGAGAAGCTCCGAAAATTTCTTAAATACCTCTCTAGAAACAATACTAAAGAATAATATGTTTTTTTTAAAAAAATTCTCTTTGCTTTTTGAAGATTTGTGGATTAACATTTAATTGTCCTAAGTATTTTTTACTTTTAATGGAAACTGATTTGTATCAATTATAGGTTTTTAGCTGCCTTTATTCTATTGGTTTGTTCGGAGAAAAAATTTTTTTAAACAAAATTAAAGACGATTTAATGAAAAAATATTTTATTGAAAGTCCATTCAACCAGAAACTACTGGGTAGAATCAATCGAATTTTTTAACAGGTAATCCTGCCTATATCAGCTGTCAAAATATATAATAATTATGCAGCTTAAGGGTGAAGTTTGCTGGGAAAAAATGCAATTAAGTCATATGTTTAGAAAAAATTAAATTACTTTATAACCAACCCAATATATCTTAAGAATCCCTAATAAATATATATATCCTTAAAAATATAATGCCTAAAAGCTAAGCTAAGTGATAAAATGCAAAAACGTTTTTAAACTCTGACCAATGTGTATTGAGGTCAGAAAAGCAAAGCAAGGGATTAAAATCGTAAAAAAAAAAACAGTTATTTATCTTTAGTGAGAATATTTTTTTCCAATGCCCGCCTGGGGCGTGACCCATGTCATACAGACATCTGAAGAGCAGATTTGTTGGCCACTTTTCCAGGAGCACCATATTAAGTGGGTCAACGTTGCTCCCACAATAAGGACAGATAGTACAGAGAATGAAAGAACATCCATGCCTTTCCCGGGATTCGAACCCAGAACCTTTCTAATGCAAGGCCAGTTCCCAGTCCCCTACGCAGACCGATCGGCATTAGTGAGAATATAAGGCATTCACTTTTTAACATGAACAACATTCCGATCTCACCAAACTGGTTGTTGTTGTCGTAGGCCATGAAGACACTAAGGGTGCGATTGTTCTTGTTTCCAGTGGCGCCATCTATGGCCAAGATTTCACCTTCTGCCACATCCGTTTATGGGGCGTACCCATTCATACATCGTAATTTTGACCTGAACCAGAGAACGATCAATTTCCAATCCAGTACCCCCAGAAGTATAATTTGTTATGGAAACATGGAGGACTTAGTGACCCGACAGATTTAACGTGTAGAAATTAGTCATTCTACAGATTTAACAGATAAACTAGGGTAAGTCATTAAAGTGCCTGAAAAAATTACCCAGATCGTCTGCAAACCAGCACATTACCTACTAGGAACTCTTTAAACTGAAAATAAGATCTCTGCCAGAACAACATCAACGATTCTGTAAGCTTAAATTACTATACTATTATTTATTTACTCATTGATATCAGAAGAATCAAGGTAATATGATTAAATTATCATCGTATTAGTTAAAGAAATCAATCACCAGTCAAATAGGTATAAAAATGGTTAAAAGTTTGTCTAATCTATAATCTATAAGTTTGTCAAATGTTGCGTGCGAAGTGTTGACGTTACAGCTTTGAAGCTTGGGTTTAATATCACTCCGAATTAATGTCCTTATCTAATGTCCTTATCAGGTTTTAATTGGATACCTTCAAGCGACGTCACGAATGAATGTCGATACTAATTGGCTAACCACGTGCAACACCGCTTGTAACTAAAGAAATTTACAAAATGCCATTTATTTGTTTTTCAATGTATAAAGAATGAAATCAAAACAATCAGCACATTAGTTGATAGAATAAAAGAAGCAAGCTTTTGAACTTAAAAGATAAGGAAACCATTTATGAGCACATAAACTAAGCTAATTGAGGAAAACACTTGATTCCGCCTTTTTGCGGATTATCCTTTCTAATCTGCATATTAGCTAAGTAATGACCATAAGGATAGTCATTACAAAACACCCTGTGAACGAAAAAAGGATAATACTTTAAATATGTTATGATTTTTAAGATATTTTTTTAGAAATTTTGCACAGGTTTTGTATAAAAGATTGAAAGAAATTTCAAAGTGAACATAAAAAAAAAGTATTGCACTTTGTTTATTTGATTTGTAGAATACAAACAGTTTTAGCATCAACTAAATTTTGTATTTTTAGCCACAACATCCTCGTCTACTATTTTGAACAACCTTCAAAATGGTCACCAGCGTGCTTCCATAGAACCGACGGCGAAACATGAATTTGCAGATTTACAAGTTGTTCTAAGTGGTATGAAATCCTTACATTAAATTTCATGCTTTATATTAAATATGCATGCTTTAAATTATATTATTGCTTATATTGTGCTTTATATTAACTGTATTATGTATATTATGGTATTATTTAGGTATTATATTAACTGCACTATTATAACTATTAATTTGGTGACGTAATGCACGTATGCTACCACGTTAACGTTGTTCATTATATTTATCCGAATAAGAAATAATAAAATACTAAAGTACTTACTTGCACTTCAAGACGAAGAAGACAACCGATACCCAGCAAAATGGCCTGTTAAATTTGAGCTAAGTTTATCCTTCTATTTACTTAAAATTTTATCACGGTTATAATAAAATACATAAGCAAATAATTAAAGTTAATTGAAAGAAGTAGTCGAGAAAGAATTATATTTCAACAAATTTGATACTGCTCTGTATTTAATTACCTTAACGTTAATTAACATTCCAAGCTATGTAGAGAAACTTTGCTCAACTTTAATACGCCATTTTTCTGATAAATATTTGCTAGCGCTGACGTCATTGGTCACATGAGTGGATACTGGTTGTTTTCTTCTTTTTAGAGTGCAAGTACCCAATTAGCTCGGGGAAAAATCAAATAGAACATAACAAAATGAGTTTCTTAACAGTTGCATGATTCATTAAATAATCTGCATACATTTATAGTTCTGCTGTATCCTACCTCAGGATGTTCGAAAATTACACTGAAAACTTGTTAAACCGATTAACTTAAATCAGAACTTAACGCAAGTAAACAATGAATCAAGTCTTCTACGTAGATCTCCATGTGAAAAGAGCTTCATAATTTATCCTCTAGTACAATTTCTATACAGCTTTCCTTCAAAAATCCGAGGTGGCACGATTTAGGAGAAGCATGATTTATACAACTCTTCGCTATAAAAATAGAACAGTGGTCCCCAAACTGTGGGCGATGGCGATTTCTCCTTTCATTGGAGCGATAATCCTTAAGGGGCATTGGAATTGAAAATGTATACAAAACCAATCGTTCAAGAGTTCAGACAAGGAATTACGAATTAAACTTTATAAATAAATAAAGTTTCTGAACTTTTTCGTTATACTTTGGGCTTAACAAAGCTCTGTTCTCCAGATTCTCTCAGAACAAAGACGCATTTGCTTGAAAGTGAACCTCTGACTAACGGTCATGCTTTGACTGAGAGCACAAGGAATCCGTTGAAACGATGAACAATAGAGTTTTTAATTATAAATTTTCAACGCTTTTATTTCTTCCAAATTCCAATAAAAAAAATATGTACTCCTGTTTTAATTATTTTCCTTCAAATAAGTGTTTTTTTTTAAAGAAAAGAAATTTAAAAAAAATTAAATGTTTACTTTTTTTTTCAATTTCGTGCTATAGTATTTAGCTTATTGCGACAACTCATAGTTTTTTGAGCAGAAAAAAAATTTAAAAAAAAGATAAGTGGCTGTCAATATTTCGAGGGGGGAGGGCAATAGGTGACAATCAGCATCTAGAGGGCACCAAGAAAGATTGGTAACCACTATGATAGAGGAAAGAAGCTCAGAAATAACAAATAAACAAAACTCATAGCTATGTTCAATGTGGAAATATTGAGCCACAATGGCTGAGTGCATAGAGCGTTCGCCTTCCAATGAGGTGAATCTGGTTCGAAACCCATTGATGGCTGATCGATACGAATCCGCATCCGGCTTGCAATGACCACAGTGCTGACGTGAAATATCCTCAGTTTTAGATGGATCATGGGTTAGAATCCCTTTGCCGTCAGGCTAGCCATGGGAGATTCTCATGGTCTTCCTCTCCATGTAACGCAAACGCAAAAAGTCCTCTACGAAGGCATATTTTTTCCAATACTTGATCCAGGAGTTCCCTTTTCTTCTGGATTGAGTTCAAAATTACAAAGCTACGGAATTGAACATTTGTAGTCATGAACCCAAAAATTGTGTCGGCTGTTCAATGACGGTTATAAAATAAAATAAAAAATGTGGAAAGTTTTTTTTTTTTTTTTAATGAAACTTCTATAATATGATTGGATTTAATGGCTATAATGTGGAACTTACAGCAGGCTTAATAATTTTTAGTGTGCACTGAAAAGCTGGATTTAAAAAAAAAAAGAAATTCTAAATGTTACAGGGGACTACATGATTGTTGTGCGAATGTACGAGTGTTCTGCCATTCCTATTCTGAAATACCTTCTGCAGTTTGGATTGTTTCCTCTGTCGTTAACTGTTGCTGATGTACCCTCTTACAAGACGTGTTTCCTTCTCAACCAGGAAGTGAAAAGATGTCGAGACAACAATATCAATCCAATGTCAAGTGGGTGAATTCGTATTTCTTTATTAAACCAATTTGTGATTAAATATCACATACGTTTTTTTCCTTAAAAAAAATTCGATCTCTCAAGAACTATTCGATAGATTTCATTCAAATTCTGCATTTTGCCTTGTAAAAATTACAATCTTTAAAATTATGTAAAAATTTGCATGTTGTACCGTTACCCCTCTAGCTATGATCTCTAAATTTAACTTTAGTAACGGTTACCCAGGTTATACAGTAGACAAATACCTAATGAATTACAGGGAGCTCTTAACATTTAAAACTCATTTTTATTGCAACTCTAAATCTTCAAAAAACATAATTCCACACATTTCCAAATGCTAACATGGGAATAAACACTTCCCTTTATACATTAATTAAAACAACACGCAACCTTAAAACACTCAAGCATAACCTTCAATTCATACAGTTCAAAAAAGACATTTAAGAAATAAAAACTGCATTTAACATTACTAAAAGCACTTAAGACTTGGTTTATGATGTCTATAAATCACACTTAAATACTCATTGTTCCCCCAAAAGAATTTATTGTTCACCCTCTGGAACCGTCCACCGGAATGGTAGATGAGCTCATGGGCAAACTCCTCGGCTAGGATCTCAAAATTTCTCCAGCTATTCTAACTTCATTAGGCTTAGGCATGCAGAAGGGGAATACCGGACTTCCAGCATAGATACGTTCGGACTTGGCCCACCGTCTCGAAGATATCGGCCTTCGGCTAATCTCGGTCGTTCTTCCCGCTAGAGACTTCAGTTTNCATTCGCCTTCCAATGAGGTGAACCTGGTTCGAAACCCATCGATGGCTGATCGATACGAATCCGCATCCGGTTTGCAATGACCACAATGCTGGCGTGAAATATCATCAGTTTTAGGCAGATCATGGGTTAGAGTCCCTTTGCCTTCAGGCTAGCCAGGTTCTGGGAGGTTCTCGTGGTCTTCCTCTCCATGTAATGCAAATGCGGTTTAGTTCCATCAAAAAGTCCTCCACGAAGGCATATTTTCCCCAATACTTGATCCAGGAGTTCCCTTGTCTTCCGGATTGAGTTCAAAATTACAAAGCTACGGAGTTGAACATTAGTAGTCATGAACCCAGAAATTGTGTCGGCTGTTTTTGACGTATGCCTGTTTAGGCAGAAGGGGTGCGATTGTTCTTGTTTTTCAGTTGCGCCATCTATGGCCAAGAACTCGACTTCTTCCACACCATACGTCGCACCCGTTTATAGGGCTGACCCATTCATACAACCATTCATTCATCCATCGATCGTAATTTTGACCAGAATCAGAGAACGATCGATCTCCAATCCAGTACCTTCAGAGGTTTTGATTTGTTATGGGAACATGGAGAACTTTTGCGACTCGACAGAGTTAACGTGCATCAGTCACTTTACTACACGGGAGTCTTCGGCCGGCGGGGCTCGAACCCACGAACTTTAGGACATGGGCCCAGCGCCCTACCGACCAGGCTATCCCGGCCTTGTGTCGGCTGTTGAATGACGGACAATGAAAATATAAAATAATTTAAAAAATATATGGAAAGATATTTTTTAAATGGAACTTCTATAATATGATTTGATTTAATGGCTATAATATGACTTAATGGAACTTCTATATATAGTATATATAGAATCTATATATAGAACCTATATCTTCTATATATAGAACTTCTATAATAATTTTTAGTGTGCACTGAGAAGCTAGATTGAAAAAAAAACTTTTAAATGTTACAGGGGACTATATGATTGTTGTGCGAATGTACGAGTGTTCTGCCACTCCTATTCTGAGCTACCTTCTGCAGTTTGGATTGTTTCCTCTGTCATTAACTGTTGCTGATGTGCCTTCTTACAAGACGTGTTTCCTTCTCAACCAGGAAGTGAAGAGATGTCGCGACAACAATATCAATCCAATGTCGAGTGGGTGAATTGGTATTTCTTTCTTAAACCATTTCGTGATTAAATATCAGATCATTTCTTTTTAAAAAATTCGATCTCTCAGGAACTATTCGATAGATTTCATTCAAATTTTGTATTTTGCCATGTAAAAATTACAATCTTTAAAATTATGTAAAAATTTGCATACCTTACAATTCAAAATTTGTTCAACCATTATTAATTAAAATAATAAATAATTATTAAAAATTATTTTTGTATGGGATTATCTTTATGTAAATGAATTTTATAGATAAAGGAACTTTACTTCTCTTGGAAATATTTTGAGAAACGAATTTATTGGTAGCATATTTCTAAGATTGCTGCTACCCCCTATATTTTAGGCGTCAGAAATCATAACAAAGAAAGTTATTTTTATTCACAGAAAGTTCGTTTTTGTGTTTAATTAGTCTGCAGTTAAGTATAATTAATTAGTCTGCACTTTGTCGTCTGCACTAATTAATTGGTATATTTGAGGCCACACCATAGAGCCATTAAAATTACATGAAAATTCGATAATTAGGGCTCAAATGTTATTTAGGGTCATCCATTAATTTTTGCGCATTATACTTTAATTTATTTGTTTGATTTGACATAATACATGTTAAAATATGTTAGGTATGTTAAGTTCTGTAAATTTAATAAGTAGTGTTAAAGTAATGTAAAATGAGGCATTTAAATGAATAGGAGTTAAAGTAAACACAGCTGAAAAAAGTTCCAGATTGCTTAACAATAAAATGGGTTTTATCTTTAATTGGTAATCCAATTATTTGAAAAAAAAACTGGGCGGCTTAATCACCTGCTCACTCTTTTTCCAACTTTCGGAACTGTATTTGCATTTTTTTTTTAAACGCACTCATTTTACCTGTTTTAGCCACGGTATATTGGATGCGGATTCGGTTCAAATTTTTTCTCTGGTCTATTAAATTTATTTTAAAAAATTACATTAAAAAACTTATAAAAGTAATATCAGAGGAAGTCAATTGTATTTACTAAGAAATCATAATTAAATTAAAGCTCACTATAAACATTAATACAAATGTAACGCTTTTTTCTAGATATTTCTAAAATCTACTTTTGAGTCTGACTTAGAAAAGATTTATCTGACAAATAAATTCGAATGAATAGTAATTGAATTTATTGTTACAGTCTTTTTATTTTATAAATATTTGCTATTTGTCTTTTCAAATAAAACGGGAAATATATTATTTACCCTGTGTTGTAGATTTATAAAATGTAACTATTTTTCAAGTAATTCTGATTGTAATTTTTTCTTTATATGAAGGTGACAAAGGAGACTATTACAGATACCTTCTAGCATTGCACGGTCTTTTGAAATCTTTCGAGCTTGTTCTTCATTTTGATGCAAAATTAGCTTTATCTTGCTTGGTTGATTTTAAAAAATGCCACGCTTCCCTGATGAAAGGTAATTTATAATTTTCGTTTAAATAATTTTTGATAGTTGGTATCTTATTTAAACTCCTTGAGGGTAGCTTGCATTCTTTATGCAGGTCGGAAACGCTTTTCTGCAAGCATTCAAAAATATCAAAGACCGAAAGTGAATATTTGTTTTAATGGGGAAATTTCGCAATTTTAAGTTAGCTTCTGTGCGCTCCCTTACGTAATGTTTTAAGTAATAGCGCATGCGCGCCCGTGAAAAATATCAAACTTACGTAAGACAAAGTAAGATATTTTTCAAAAATCCGTTAGTTAAAAACGCTAATGCAGTGGAATATCATTTAACTTTGACCCCAAAATCAAAACAAACATTTACAATGGACATAGGCTATCTCTACAAAGCATATGACCCAAGATACTTTGCTCTACATAAAACTGTAGTTCTATGAGCAGAAAAAAATGGTAGATTTTGATGAAATCAGCTATAAAAACTGAAGCTTATTATTTTGATTTGTGGACGAAGAATGAAAAAATTTAGTTAACGCATGAGGTCCACAAATAACCATAACTTACAGTAGTTTTCTTTAAACTACGCAGGTAAGTTGATAGTAATATAGCACGATTCATTTCTAAATTTCATCAATACATTTCTTCAAAAACGCATTCTATGTCCATATTTTTAATTTAAAGGTCGGCTTAAAGAGACAACAACATTTAACAGCTATAAACAGCGTGCTTGTAGCTTTGTCTTTGCAGTGTTAATTGCGCCAACTTAACGTAAAGATACGTATCATCTAAAATTAATACCAACCTGCGCAGTTGTTTCAAATCTTAAGTGCGGGAGCGAACGGAAGCTAACATAAAAGTGCGAAATTTCCTAATAATAAATGTACAAAAAAAGGTAACATTGGTCAAAGAAAATGTTCCTTCCACCAATGCATCAACGGCGCATGGAATTCCGAATATTCCAAGCTCGAATTTTATCGAGCAGTTACTCCAGTTTTTGCTACACCATCGAATGCTTCAGGAAAGCATTTTGAACTGATATGTGATTTCTTTTCATCATATCTTTAAAATTGTAAATAAAAAGAGCCATCTGCATGATAAAGTCAAATTATATTGGAAAGTGCCAATCATATAAAACTGGCGCAGCAAAAGATCTTTTGAAAATGAACGAGGGTTGTTTTTTTAAGGCAATTTGTAAATAAAAACCAAATAAAAGAAAATTTTCAAGAAGCAAATTTATTTTCAGAATCTACATACGTTTCTCTTTTTTTGCAACATAGTCTCCAAGTGTGTTTAAACACTTATTATACCTTACAACTAGCTTTAGAATACCCTCTTCATACAAACTTGCCACCTGCTACAATAGCCAAGAGGTTACGACAATTTTCACGTCATCGTTGTGCTGATTACCGCCTAAATGATGTGAGAAATATCCGGAAAGATTAAAATCACTCTGTGCAAGGCTGTAGGGTGGGGTGCCAAAATTCCTAACTAAAAGAGTCCATTAAAGCTGGGATCTGAGCTAAGGAGAGAGTCATTGTCATAGAATAGCAAAATTTCCTGTCAACATGGCAGGGAATTTTGCTACTTCACAAATCTGCTAGTGAATGTAGGCAGCAAATAGGGTTTTTGTCAACTGAAAACGCATCGCAGACCGCATCTCGTGCGTGGCTGCTTATTTGTCAAATTTGAACATTTTAACGACACAGAACTGACCGTACAGTTTACCTACACAGCTGCAACTGAGCACAGTTGTTCCCGAGGAATGCCGGGACACGACACAAGCACTCGTTGTGACGCAAGTGTCACCTATTAGTGTACGCAACGGAACGGCCCTTACTTAAAAAGCAACCCTCATATTTATGGATGTATTTTAAGGATGTAGTTCGGATGCAGCTCAATGTAAAATTGCTCAAGATTGCCATTTTTGGGCCCCAAAGGTCAGGTAGTTTTCTTCACATAAAATCCTATGCGGACAAATGAAATAAATTAGTAATATTAAAAACAAACGAAATTAAAAATACCCAAATAAATATTTACAAATATATTCACAAGGTGCTTAGTAAAATCCATATCCACTCTCTTCACTTCTCGAACGGCTTCAGCTATAGTTTTAAACGAGGTTTAAAATTGGAGCAGTTAAATATTCGCAACGAAATGAAACGTTTAGAGCACCTTCTGACGAAAATCTTCTAAATTAGATTTGCCTATCACAAACGGTGCAAGAGAGAGGAAAAACGTGAATTACACAGTTGTATAACATGAAGTACGAACAGACCGTTGATATTTATGTAAAGGAAACTTTTAATTCAGAAAAAACAAGTAGTGAAAAGAACAATTTTTTTTTTCGAAAATTATTTCCTTACGTCGTAGCTGAAAAACTAATGCTTCTCTTTGACATTTTTTCCTTAGCATCCAAGATAAAGCAATCATGCTTTAAAATGTTGTTATATTTTTGAAACAGGAACTCTTCCACAGTTTTCCATCAGGTAGCACTTTAAAAGGTTCCATTCCTGTTTCGTATTATCACTTTACTATACCTGTACACTTAACTTTTATAACTGTACCCATTCGAAAGAGAACAGATGCAGATTTCAGTTTTCAAACTTGTATAAATAATAGAATGTTGTTAACTCGCAAATAAATAAATCTTATCTTAAAACATCAAAGGCTAACATGCAAAAATGTTAAGTATAATGACTGCTATTAAGTTTTATTATCTACCTAAAAAATTCCTTCATAAGAAAAAATCACTTTTTGCAACAAAATATTATTTTAAATAGGTTTTTCCTGTCTTTCTTTTAGGTTGCTATGATGATTTTGTGAAACAACTAAATGATATTATACCAGAATTATATGTCAATCACTTAATACACCCTAAACTCAAAACATTGTGCCAGTTTTTAAAAGAAAAGTACTATTTCTGTGAAGAAAATCATCTTCATTTTAAAGTATGGTTAAATAAGTATTTCTACATCAGAGCATTATCTATTTTCATTAAAGGTTTTTGAGTTAAAATATACAGGTGATTGGATTAAAACGAATATTAATTAATGATTCGAAAAATTCTCGCGTATTCAGAGAAAGTTGAAAAAGTTAACATGTTATGTCGCCCAATTTGAATCTCTTAAAAATGTCATTTTGTTAGGGATCTATTCTTTTAAATGTTTATCTGTTATGCATAATCAATTTAAAAGCCTCAGAAAAGTACCGATTACCGTTGAAACGTTATTAATAGATAAAACAATCTTAAAATATTAATAATCATCGCTCAAATTATACCATTTTGGATAATTTGCCGGAATTTTTGCTGCGACAAACATTAGCGATCCTACTGATAATTATGCAAGTGTGTTCTTTTTTTTTCTAACTTTTAAGATATGTTTAACTTTTTGTCAAGTTGCTTATCTGTTATACATAATCCAATTTAAAAGCTTCAGAAAAGTACCAATTACCGTTGAAACGTTGTTCATAAATTAAAAAAAATCTTAAAATGTAAACAATCATCACGTAAATTGTAGCATTTTGGAAAATGCATAGGAATTCACGCGGCGATAAGCATTTGCAATCCTTCTCATAAGTGTTTCCGTTGTCATAACTTTTAAGATAGGTTTAACTTTTTAAGTAGTCAATCTGTTATACATAATCCAATTTAAAAGCTTCAGAAAAGTACCGATTACCATTGAAACGTTGTTCATAAATAAAAATATATCTTAAAATATAAACAATCATCATGCAAATTAAAGAAGCTTTATTATTTTATTTATTTTTCTTAATTATTATTTATTAGTATTTATTTTTGTTTTTTTTGCATATAGACTCTTATTATTCTGAAAAGGAACTTGAATACGTTCTATACGTCACTAGAGAATGTTCTGAAAGATTTCATGCTCCCTCTCTCTACCTTTTTAGTACCCGAGAGTGTTCTGCTGCAAGATTCAACTTCGGTATTTCGGTAAAATATCTTTCCCATTCATTTTTTAAAGCTTTGTTTAAAATTATTTAAGTTAATAATTTAACTCCGTTTACATACATTGTTGCTTTTTTTCATCATATTTTTAAGCCAGAAACTTTTGATGACTCAACTTTATAAATCACTTAAAAGTCATCATAGCACTTTAAAAGGCTTACTTAAAAAGGCAAAAAAAAGAAACACTAAAGTGTTTGGCTTTAGACATAGCTTATACATTTGTTTATAAGTTCCTATTTGATTTGATCAAACCTCGATAATGATTCGTCAAATTTTGATAACGTTTTAATGTTTACTTTACACACCTAAATACATATTTCGGGTTCTTAAAGTGCAATTTTCTACATTGAGAAAGATTCTAAAAATATCTGCATATCGTGGGAGCAGTAATTATAAAACAGATTATTTTATCATCTCTAAACTACTTCCCTAGTTTAGAGATGACAAAAAAATATGTGATAAAATATATTGTGATAACATATGTGCGTGTTTCTTTGTTGCAGAGTGGAAGATAAATCTGTTTTTGCAGTAAGTGCTTCCTCCCTGTCAAAAGACATACCTTGGAAAGATCTGACACTGGTCATCGAATATGAGTATGATTCTGATTCCATGTGGAAGAGAATGTGCGAAGAACAACGTGTTCCTCATGTGTTCGTCAAGTTAGCTCCTCTGCCTTTGAAAACATTTAATCAAATCAAATCCAATCATGCTTCAGGTAATTAATCATTTTCCATCTTTTCTTTAACATTTTACATAGATAGAGCAATTGCGTATTTTTGATATAATTTATTCCTCGAACTCAATATAGGAACTATTTCTTTAACGCTATCTTCCTTTTTATTTAGAAAATGAATATTTTTCATTTCGTGAAATACAAAATTTTAAGTTTTAGTACCCTTATTCCATATTTGGTGGAGCAGTCAGCTCGCCTGACTTTGAAGCCAATGGTTGCGGGTTCGAATCCCGCTCAGGACGTGGGTGTTCCTCTTTCTCTGAGTTGCTCTCTATTGAGTAATGTGTGAATGTGGTCCAACCTGTAANTATATATATTAAATTAATGCTGACAAATATTGCACATTAGTGGTTCAAAAGTAAAAAAAAAATAAAGGAAAATATTATCAAAACGTGGTAAATAATGAATAAAGATGGCAAGATAAAAAAACAACCCTTTCGATTTCCAGATGAAAAATGGTTATGAAGAACATCTCTAGCAATCAAACCGGTTTTAAAAGTTTTGATACAGCTGTTTTCAATAGTGAGTCGTCAGATTCTTATAACGTTTTGTTCCTGTATTACTTAAATATAAATTCGCGTCTACTAGTGTAACTTCGTTATTGATTCCTATATTCTAAATAGATATATTAAGACTGTTGATTACGTAATGCATTGCAGAATCAGTTTTTTCCCCGTTGAGTAAAAACAAAGTATTATAATTCAGCACAACACTTAAAGGTTTTAAATATCAAAAAAATTGTTCTGAAATTCGCATAAAGTATAAAAATATTTCAGCCACGCATGCACTTTTATAAAATTTTATTAACTTTTTTATTATTGTTTTTACTATTATAAACTACTTTCCTTGAATTATCTTACTTATTAATAGTAGCTATAATTTTTTTAAAACTAATTTATGTGAAAAATCTCAGCATTTGAACTTTATATTGCATAATTGCATTTTTTGTCGTTTTAGTTTTAAACATTTAAAATCTATAATAGATTATTAATATTATTATTTACAGAACACATTGTGAATGAAAAATGGTGATATAGTAGTGTTCCATTTTTTTAAAATAAGAAATACATATAGTATTTTGCAATGTATTTAAATTATTTCTCAAAAATGTTGACATATAAAGTGCATGGATTAATATGTTGGGCTATTCGGACATATTTAGTTAAAGCTTTGATGGCATCATTTATTTCTTTAACCATTTCATAAACATCAGTAAGTTGATTTGTTTAATTTACACGTTATTCGTTTATTTATTTTTAAGTTATTGAAATTAGTTTTGAAATATTATTCCTTAAGCATGTATTTTGATCTTTTTCTCAAAATGCTGTTGCCTTTTCCAGAGAAATCCGTCTTTAATCAGAAGAAATTCACCATCATCGTTTCGTCTACCACTCCATCAGAGTTACATCTTCTTCCCTTATTAAAATCAAAGTAAGTACCATTAATGACAAATCCAAGCTTTAAAAAACTTATAAGATAGACTTATAAGACAGACTTTTAAGATAGACATAAAAATGGGAATAAATTAGGAAAAACACATTTAATCTGGAACAAACTCAAAATTTATTCATGAGCTATCATTAGGAATAAATAAACTTCAAGTGCCAATCAACATTGTTATTATTTTTCGTTCTTTTAAAAATATAAAAGCTTTTCATACTAGTTTTTTAAATAATAAAAATTTTAACTCTTTAATGACATCTGATATTTGTTTATACTATATACTTGCTTATATATTTATTTAAACAACGCAAATGATGTTTGAATTTGTTTTATTTCACGTCTAAAAGTTTTGCTATAGTACGAATACTTTGCTAGTTTCATATTCTAATATTTGCTAACAATAAAAAATACCAAAAATATTATAATTCTTAAATACAACTTCTTTTATTATCTAATTAAAAAGCATAAACTTTTTAATTACTTAATGAATTTTCTTTATAATAATATTAAGTCTTCAAAAACAAATATTAAAACATAAAAGATAAATAACACTTACTCGACTCTTAACAGTTAGTTGATAATTGTCTCGTTTAATGGAATAATCCATTTTCATTTCATTTCCTCACTTTTCAGAAACTTAAAAACTGATACTTCAAGCTCATTTTTGTAGTTCCCTTTACATTTTGGAACTACGCATGCATATGGTATTGTTAAAAGTTGTAAAGTAATGCTATGTATATTTTTGATATGGATGGTTTATAATGACATATCCGACGGACAAACTGGACTGTTGCTCAATGAATGACAAATATTTGAAATTGGCCGCTAATCGCTTATCAGCTCTACACCACGTTATGTGACGTCACCAAAAGACCTTGGTGATCTCAACGGCCTTATTTCTTATGGGGGTACTGAATCGGAGATTGATCGTTCTCTGGTTCAGGTCAAAATTACGATCTGTGGATGTATGAATGAGTTCGTCCTATAAGTGATGGTGTGGAAGAAATAAAATTCTCGGCCATAGATGGCGCCACTGGAAAACAAGAACCATCGCACCCCCTCTGCTTTTATGGCCAAAGACAACAACAACATAAGATTTTATCTTATGTTGTGAACAAAAATCCCCTCTCACGTAATGCTTGAAGGACGTGCATTAATGAAAATTATCTTTCAGAGGTACAATCTCTTTCTACATTCGGGATTATGGAGCATTTTTACCACATCTCTATTTTGCGGACATAGTGGCAGATGAGAGAACTGCTATCGTCTTAACGAGAGGCCTTTCTTCCATCCATTCAGCAGAAAACCTCTATCATCAACTTTCTTTCCTCTACCTCAAATACGAAATGTGTTGGATCATTATAATGGAGACGAGAGAAACAATGTAAGATCATTAAGTTCTTTTCTACTATATGGATCAAAATACATAGAATCTAATAACTATGGTGTGATAGCTCTCCGAATTAGGTGCAATAACTCTGCTAGTCTGTATATATGTTACTGTGAATGAATGTGATCATTTAGCACATGCATAACATGATGAACACATGAATAGGTGGGTAGACGAAGTTTTGAAAAAAAATTGGATAAAAAATTGGGGAGCCAGGAAGCTACATATGTTTGGCTCAGACCCAAAAAAAAGCAATATTATTATAGCAGTAGGAGTAATTTAAGATAACTGTGTGATCGACGAAGGATAAATACTTTGTGTTTCCCCGTTGCTAAGTAACAAGTTGGGACAATAAAAAGAAATGAAATTAGAACTGAAAGCCTTTTCATTCATCGTTTTGTGTTTGATTGGGAATGCTTTTGTTTTAATGTTTAAGAGTTAATAGAAAGTTTCTTGGCAACAGATATTTTTTAGACTGATTTCTGCTCAAAAAGCAATGAATAAATTTAAATTAACCTAAAATTAGAATGGATTAATAAATAATTCATGATTTTCCAAGAACACATGAACCTTTCATATGACATTATTTGTATTAAGTTGTTTTCACTTATTCAAATATGAAGGCCTTAGACTAAAACTAAATGCACATTAATTGTTTTGATTATGCGCAGAGCTGTAGGACAAATTGCGAAAAGGTTCCAAAAAATGTAAGGATTCTCGAAGTGTTTATAATTATAATTGATGAAATTAGTGAAAGTTACATTTTAAAAACATTGAAATATGTCTGTTTAAGAATATAGTATGATTAATTTCGTAAAAATTCGTTTCATTTTGCCAAGTATGTGAGTTACGTTACTTTCCTTGGATAATTTTTCTTTGGATTTTTTAAGGCACTGTACAGTGGGCAAGAAAAAAAACGGACCCTGACTAACTTTTGATCTAATAATCGGATTCTCACGTTCTGGGACTAGTGGCTCGAGGTTGGGGGGATATCAAATATGCTAATTAATAAGTGCAGACGATATTGCAAGTTACAAAATCAGGCACAGAAGCTTACTTTCTCTGAATTAACATACCCTTTTTTCGACGGATTCATATTTCTAACCCCCCCAAAAAGTAGCCGCAATCTGGAAAATATGGTCCAAATAATTTCGCTGAACTTTTTAAGCAAGTAGAAGCATAAGCCAATTGAAAATTTTTTATTCAAAGTTAATTCCACGCAAAGAAATACTTTTAATAAATATTCATTATATTTTAACATTTTATTAAAGAATGTTCGATTTTTAATTACGCGGTATACGATTTTTTGTACCATTTTAAAGAATATAATTTTGCATGGCGAAATACAAAATTCGAGCGAAATTGGTTCAATGGTTCCTGAGAAATCGGATTTTAAATATTTGACTTTTTTGAAATTCAATTTCTCAGGAAATGTTTACAGTAATATAAATAAATAAATAACCAAATAAATGAAATTTTTTTTCTTTCTATGTTTTGAAAAAGTGATGTAGAAAACGTTTCGAAATTGTATTGGTCTGCATTTGAATTATGTAAAAAGCATGCCACTTGCAAATTTAAGGTATGTCTTTTTTTATTGTTTCATCTCTTTGTGATTTTGCGTCTATCCTTAGTCATTATTAAGTACCAAATCTCATTTTTTTAACAATACTGTTTAATTAAATAAATAGGGTTCAGAAGTATATGAAATATTTTAAAAATTTTGTATTAAGTACAACATCATTTTTCCTTCTAAGGAAAGATATTTTTCCCTTGATTATCTTCATTTCATGTTTGTATCATAGGAAATTTATTCCGACCAGTATGACAACTATATCGATTCTTAACATGACCACAAATAGTGATAATGTGACCACAAATAATGATAAATGATAATGTATGGAGAAAAATTTAAACGGAAAAAAAATGCTTGCATTCATGTGGCATTAATATTTAAAAATGAAAGATTGACGAGCGAAGTAGCGTGAGAATTGCAATAGTGATAGTATCGGTACCTTTCACGGTTATAAACTATCGGAAGAAAGATTCACCGATTTTGTAAAACCGATTAACCAGTTTGATTGAGAGCATTTAAAATGAATGTAAAGTCACGTTAAAATATAAAAATATAAAAGTCTAGAACAGAAGAACGCGTTGTTATTATGATACTTGTTTAGTGGCATAAGGTGATTTATTACCAAATGTTTGCCGTTAGTGATGAATTTGAATTTTAAATTTAAAATAGCACGAGTATTATTTTCAAGTAGATGCACTTTTAAAAATTAACTACCTTCAAATGCTTAAAACTTAATGTGTTTTTCATGCTTGAACAAAATGTATAAAAAAGACAATTTAAAAATTCAAGTAAAATCACTGTTGAAGTAGAAAATACGAGATATATTTTATTTTATAGATTGTTTTTGCTCAAAATGTTAGAGAAATGGCTGATCTAATTGAATGCATTCTTTCAAATACTGCAAGATTATCTTCAAAATTGAAATCTAGTTCTACTTATGGTGTAACATTTGAAGAAGAAATGACGAAAGTAAATAATTTTCTGTACTTAACATTTAAGAAAAATTCTATTTTGTATGATCATACCTTTTTAAGAATAATAGTTCTTATGCATCAGCAAGCTGACTAATAAAGCTTCAACATTACTAAGCATAGCTAATGGCGCTAACTATCATTGAAACTTATGAATGTTAACTTATGAAACTCGAATTGAAAGATGGTAACGGTGGAAAGTTATCTAAAAAACTGAGGATAATATTATTGAGTACTAAAGATTTATCGGCTATTTGAGATCTTTACCAAATGATTTTGCAAGTACAATCTTACAAAAATACTTTTTATTTTATTTTATTTTCGATACTTCCCCATTAATGGTGTCAATGTATCATTATGTAATCAAAAGTAAAATATATATGTGCTCGAGTCAATCAAGTGTCGAAAAAATTATGTTACAGCTAAAATTTAATTCTTGGCCACCCATTTGCATGCCAAGATTTAAGTACGTATAAATCTTCCAATATGTGGGTTTGGTCATGCATAGTGGGCAAAAAAATATAAAATGATGGTATTTAAAATAACTTTTTATCTAATAGTTGAATCTTCACGTGCTAGGACTTAATGATTCAAAGGGAGGACCTCAAAATTGCTAATTAATTAGTGAAGACGATATTTTATGTTACAATTTCAAGTACAAAAATAAACTTTCTTTGAATTAGAGTTAGTGTAATATTTCTGCACCCGTATATATCTTTAAATAAGTCGATGTCATTTAAATAATGTATAAATACGTTCTTGAGACTAATTTTAAACTCAATGTTTATTTTTCAGAGAGCTTTTAATGCCTCAAATGTTTATTTATTATTTTTTCTATGCATAGGAAGAACTCTTTCTCGTATCTTTTCCATCATTGAATCCATTTGTGTAAGTAAAAAATAAAATTTTTATTGCTCTAAGTAAAAAATATTTAAAAAAAAAATAATAACGTAATTATTAAATTTTGTGTAACATGTATTTTTTCTAACCTTCTACAATGATTTCAATTTTGATTCATTTTATTTTCGTTAAATATATACATTATTATAAATTAATCAAAGTAATCCTTTCGTATATTTTAGTTTGAGTTACTTTATTAAATACTTGTAACTTTTGCAACAAATAAATATTATAATTCTCTCATTGAAAAATTTTCTAAATAATGAAAACAGCAGTGTGCAGAAAATTAGACAGAAAAAAGAAACGTATGAATAGCAAAAACGAAAAACTCTCGAAATTCAAAGTGTTTGATCTAATGATTAGAATTTCGCGAACAAAGATACAATTTTTAGGGTTTAAAGCCACTTAACTCTAATTGATTGGTACAGTCTAAATTTTAAGTTACAAAAACTCACATAATTCATTAATTTTTTCCCCCAAACAAACCATCTTTTTCCGATGGATTTTGATCTTCATCCCTGAGAGATTAGGAAACGGTAATACGGATGATATTGGTCAAAGGTCATACGATCTATCAGTTCATTGGACGAGAAAAGAAAGACTGCAGGTGATGACTTACTTGAATGTCAATTTTATTCATATTTTATAACCGTCGGTGAACAGCCTACCCGATTTTTTGGGTTTACGACTTATGTTCAATTCCGTAGCATTGTCATTTTGAATCCAATCCAGAACACAAGGGACCAAATATTGGGAGAAATTTGCCTTCGGCTAGGACTTTTTTGATGAAACTAAGCCTCATTTGCGTTACATGGAGGGGAAAACCATGAACACCTCCGACGGTTAACCTGACCGCAGGGATGCTCTAACCGACCATCTGTCTACCACTGAGGATATTTTACATCAGCACAGTGATTGGTGCAAGCCGGATGAATTGACAGCAGGATTCGTATTAAACAGACGTATCCCCCGGTTCACCTCATTGGAAGACGAATGCTGTATCCCCTGAGCTATCATGGCTCTTGAATGTCAATTTAAATCAATTCTTTCAGCGTATGAAAAATTATGCATAAAGGTAAACGTAAAAAACAAGCAACGTAAGAAACAAACATCGGTGATTGAGTGGTAGAAGGCTCGCCTCCGTAATTTATTTGCCATCTGCAAAGCGATTTCAAAAATATTCTTCCGGACTTATTGCTATGCACAAAAATAAATTAATTAATGGGCGGTTAAAAAAACGGAACACCTGAATAACTTCCGATCTAATGATCAAAATTTCCATGTACTGAGATGCAACCATAGAAAATTCAAGAGGTAAACTTCAAGTATACTAATTAGTTTAGTGTGCAGCTGATATATCAAGTTACAAAATGAGTTACACATATGTACTTCACCAAATAATTATGTTATTTTTTCCCCCGACAGAATCTGACTTTTTGACAAAAAATGACATTTTGCTCTTGTAATAAGAGAGAATTGATACAATCTCTAACATACGATCTACATTAAAACGGTTGAAAGTTTAGGCTTAAAGTAACATAAATTTTACTTTATGGGTATTTCGTTTCACTATTCCAACGAATTTTTTAGGCATAATTATAAAGCTCGTTTTAACAATAAAAAATTATAACTTAATGGTCTTGGAACCATAGACCACTCTTTTGACTAAACCAGGACAATATTTTTTCAGATCCGTAGTGGCTCAGGGAATAGAGCATTCGCCTTTCAATGAGATGAACAAATTCCGCACCCGACTCGCACCGACCACAGTGCTGACGTAAATTGTCCTCAATGGTAGACGGATCATAGGTTAGAGTCCTCTTACTGTCAGGCTAACCGTAACGCAAATAAGGGCTAGTTTATAAAAAAAAGTCATTCACAAAGGCAACATTTCTCCCAATATTTGATCCAGGAGTTCCTATGTCTTCTGGATTAGGTTCAAAAATTACAAGGAAACGGAAATGAACATACGACCCATTTACGTGAACCGAAAATTGGGTCGTCTGTTCAAAGACGGTTATAAAAACAAATATATATCTGTTTCAAAATCCTTCACGCTTTCAGTATGTTTATATTCAGCAAAGGTATGTTTTTCTGTCTAATTTGAAAACTTAAAATAACTCCGGCCGCAGTCTATTGGCATTATAAAAGTACATCAACCTTTCGAACTATTGATTGAATCTGATTGATCTGCTTTTTTTATTTACCATCGTGTATCAGCATATTCAAAAATTATTCAGGGGGTTTCCTTTTTTTTTTTATAGAATATTACTGTTATAACGGCATTTTGTCTACTCCTATCAGAGAAATGTTGCTTCTGTTTATTCGTATTATTATTTACAGTATGTTTTGATGTTTCAGAGCGAACTTAATGCTGTCTGAAAACAGATTACTGACTCCACTGACTTTGGATTTTGCTCATTTAGCTGAAAGATTTCCCAGTGTACCTGAACGTTTCCTGAGAGTAAATCTATTGATATTTATTCAATTTAATCCTTTGAATCAATTCAATCCTGATGCGTGAAATATTTTATTCAATTTAGTCCTCTCATTCGATAGTTGGGGGAGCAATTACCAATCTATACCTGCAACTCTGGATGTTAAAATGTTTGCAACTTAATGTTTAGTCATCACTTTATTTGATTTAATGTTTAGTCTACAAATATTAAATGATAAGCAGCGATTGCTCAAGAGATAAAGCGTTCTCCTTCCAATGAGGTGAACTGGGTTCGAATCCCAACGATGGCTGGTCGATACAAATCCACTTCCGGCTTGCACCGACCTCAGTGTTGACGGGAAATATCCTCAGTGGTAGACGAATCATGATTTAAAGTCCTTTTGCCGTTAGGCTAAGCGTGGGATGTTCTCGTGGTCTTCCTCTCCATGTAACGCAAATGTGGGTTAGTTCACTGAAAAAGTCCTCCACGACAGCAGATTTCTCCCAATACTCGATCCAGGAATTCCCTTATCTTCTGGATTGGGTTCAAAAGGACAAAGCTACGGCGTTGAGCATTAGTAGCCGTAAACCCATAAAATTGGATCGGCTGTTCAAGGACAGTTATAAAATATAAAATAAAATATTAAATGATAAATGTGTAAATATTGAGTTACATTTTCTAAACTTTAAATGGTTGCTTTTGTGGGGGAAGGAGTTACAGACCATGTCAACCTTCATTTATCAAGAGGTACCCCAAGTTTGAATCGAGTCAGCATGCCTTAGATACTATTCAATTGATGTTTAAAAATCGTAGTGGTAGTTGGGGGGGAACACCACAGTACTCCCCCTCCAGAATTTTTTAAGAGATTTTTATATTTACGCAGGAGATATCATGCTTTGGACAAAATAAATCTATATTAAAAATATTCTTAAAATATTTTTGGAAAGAAATGGGCATTTCCAAGAAAATGATCCGGATATTTTAACATGATATCAGTTAAAACAAATCAGGTTTTCAAAAAATTTAGACAAAATTGGTTAAGTGCCCGATCTCTTGTTTCTTTAATATGCGAGTTTGGAATATCGTTTTTTGCTTACAATAAAAATAGTTTTAAAATATTCCTTAAGTACTTTTCATAAAATATTTTCAGAAAATATCACGTGCACGTTTTAACATAAGACCAGTTTCAAGAAACTCCACTTTTCAAAAAATTCTTAAAAAATATCGCTAAGTGTCCATTCTATTGTTTCTTTTATATTTAAGCTAGAAATGTTATGTTTTAAACAAATTAAATTGATTTTCAAATTATTCTTTGATGTAGTTTGGAAAATATTGGCAGTGCTTTTTCGCATATGTGATTGATATTAATGAAATTAAGTGTTTTCTGTGAGTGAAAACACTTTTACTAAATTTACCTTTAAATGTAGTTAAATGCATCATAAACTATGACAACTTACTTAGGTTTTTAAAAAGGGTGTTTTTAGCGACCATGACAAGTTAGTAGAACCGATTAGTATTAGAAAACTCTGTCACCACTGTTTTGTTTAGTCCACGAACTTGACATGATTTTTCAAAATAACTTTTGAAAAACATGGATAAGTTTACGCTGTTTAAAGCATTTCCAAATTTTCCTTTTTCCAGTGCTTTTACTCGTCATTGGACAAGGAATTCACCTTTCCTGGAACACCGCAGTGTTCCGCATCGAACACACCGTATTCGAGTGAAGATGATGAAAATGATAGACCCAGCCAATCCTCCTTTAATTTTTCCCCCAACCTTCAGGACACAAGCGAGTACGAGTCCGATGGCAGAGGAATGGACGTGGAAGAAGTCAACCTGGACGTCCAGCGATTATGCAACGAACCATACCTGACAGACAGCAACTCAAATGACCAAGTCATGGAAGTTGATCTCAGGTCAAATGCATCAAGTGATGGATATAAAGAATCGAACTCATATCCTTCACCTTCTGAGGAAAGATGTCTCAAATTCGCCTCTTTAAATAAGCTGAATGAATGTTTGAGTAACCGCGACTTTTCACTCCAAGGCTTGAGTACATTTTCTGACACTCAAAGGAAGCGTCATAATTTCGAGAACACTATCGAACGTATTATGTCACCCGATCTGGTACCTCAAAAATCATGCCTTGACGTTTGTTTTTATCCAAATGATCCATTAGTATCATTTAAGCAGCAGGCGAAAGAACCTCTTAAGAGGAAGTGTACTCCAGAAGACCCTGAATTGCAATGTCTGAAGAAGAGTTGCAGAGTTCAGAAAGGGTTGTGTTCTAAAACAGTGACCAAACAAGATCTGTACCTGCATTCACCGTCCGGCGGTTGTCACAGCCGTGAGCCAGTTTCTGAAAAGGTATTTTCGAGTGACCATCCAGATTATTCTCATTACTTTTCACCTCCAAGACAACATGAAGCGAAGAGACAATTTGGTAAGTGCAAACATCAAAATTAATTCAGTTTCAATATATGAAAGGATAAATTTAAAACATTATCCTTTAATATAGAAGCAATACATTTCCTGTTGAGTCAAGATTATTCAATTACATAAAATACCAACCACATTTTTAACGTCTCTTAAAAACATATCCCTTGCACAGGATTCAGTTTCTTAAACATAACTATTGGACAAAACCACCAAAGTATTATGGATGATAAAAGTAATCACCCAATGATATACATATATACACCGAAGAGCCATTACATTATGACCACCCTGGGGCCCTACCATGAACTACCGGGAATGGAATGAAGATTCCCGGCTGGAAAGTGAAACTGGGAAAGTTTGGTTCCATGAATGCTCAATACCGTACCATGAACACTCCCTTGGAATCTGACATTCCACGATAACTCGCTCTGAGGGCGTGGCTAAAATTTAACCAATCACACAATTTACTTTAGATTTTCTTTTTGAGTTTGGCAGCATTAGCATGAGTAAAACAAAACGAGCTTCTGCTATTTAGATAATATTTTTGACTTATTGTTTTATTTTTATAGTGTTTTTTGTTTTCATTAGACTAAAAAAACATAATAACATAATAACATAAAATACAAATTTCATAAATATTTTTTGAAACGTTTTTATTCTTTTTTGTATTTCTTATTATAAATAAATTGTTTACTTTATAATACATCATGCCTGTAAAAAATTCTTTTNCGAATGTACAAGAATGTAATGAAATATTCGATCTTTCACCTACGTTTTTGGTGTTTGTCGACATTCACCGGTGAAAGTCAACAACCACCTATTTCGGTCATTCGCCGTAACATATATAAGTATACTGTGAATGACCGAAATCAAGAGAATGTCGACTTTCACGGGTGATATAAGCAATCACATAGTCGTTTTGGTAAATATCCAAAATATTTGTTATATCTGATTTGATATCAATTTATTCATTAATATTATTATATTTATTCGATATTTTAATGTCTGATGTGGATAGATTAGGGAAAACTTAACCTTAAAAAAACATTGATGTGGGGCATACCGGTCAAATGTATACCGGGCAGTGGCATTGAACCTTAAAAAAAACATTGATATAGAGTATACCGGGCAGTGGCACTTACCTGGACTTAGTATCTATTTCAAACATTTACCAAACCGACTATGTGATTGTCAGATTGTCAGTAGAAGTCAACAACCACCAATTTTGGTCATACTCACAGTAATATATATATATATGATCGCTATTTTGATTCTTTTCATGTTATGAAGATATCAAAGATATCAGTCCAAGATAACATAAATTTATTAAGATAAGATTATAAGTTTCCGAAGCTTATATGACCAGCCCTTAGCCAGTTAAATGTTTCGTCGAAAACTTTTGACTTATGACAAAAACTTATGACGTCGAAAACTTTTGTTTGCTGTCTAATCCATGCTACCTGCTTTCGACTTCTTCTTAGAAAACCGAGTAAGCATCTTTGTATAGTTCTGAGCCTTAGTAGTTCAGTTTGGTTTATTAGTTTAGTTGTTCTAAGCCTTAGCCTAGAGATAGCCTGATTCCCATAAGTGACGGTAACACTTATTAGCTGAAAACTTTTCTCTTTACATAAGATGGCATATTACTTTTTAGAAAGATGCTACGTTTTCCAAAAGAACTGTAACCAATTTTGAATCTCAGAATTTCTGCTTCTTCAAGTACAGCACATTTGTATGGGTCTTAAAGCACTGCTTTACGCTCAAGCACTTTATATGTTAAATGAGCATAAAGGAAGCAATTACGCTTGCATAAAACAGTGAGTTATGAGACCCCAAAGAATGATAGTTTTATAAATCAAACAAAATAAATTCTCAAGTTTAAAGGAGTGTTGACGTTATGTTAAACAAAATCATTATTAATACTGAAATTCACACAACTGATCCCTCTTATTAAGACAATTGGATACTTGCAAGTCACGCATGTTCAGCCAATCAGGTTCGATCACACACTTGTGACGTCACCTACAGGTATCCAATTAAATCTGATCCGAAAATTGATTTATAGTGAAAATTGACCCAAGCTCTGAAGTTGTAACCTTAAAACACCATGCACAACCACATGATTAAACACAATCATGTGATTAATTGCAAGCAACCAATTGGGCATTGTTTCATTAAGTTAATTGAACAAAGTTATTTTTGTTGATAAAAAATGTTCTTTAGTTAAAATATTTTTCAGGGAGTATTCCTTTTTTCCTTTTTAGATAATATTCGTTATTGTTATTCATTATTCATAATTAGATATAAATGTTATTCATTTTTAGATCCTTATACTTCTGCTTCTCAGAGTATCCCTTTGACTCCCAGGACAACTCGGAGGCTTGCCTATGAGGGTGCACGAGGTCAAACTAGATTAGTATTCCTCTAATTACTATTGCTTTGTTAATTTATTAAGAGCATATAAAATTCGTTTGTATGTTTTTTCGTTTGTTTGTTTATTTATTTGGTATACAAAAGTAACTACAACCCATTCACCCCGAATTTGGTGCGAAAAAAAAAGATACAATCACGTTCATTAATTAGTGCTCAGTAGTTAGTTCTCTAGTTATTTTGTGCTTTGCAATATATCTCTGGAACTAACAGAGGGAATCAAAAACTCCCAATTGGATACCTTGAAGTGACGTAGTGTGGGTATCTCGAGCCTGATTGGTTATTAAAACGTGGTTTTGTTTAAGTTAGCAACTGTTCTTTACATTCTATTTCGAGTTAACTTACCCCGTCAAGTATCAATTCTCTTAAGTAACACATTCTATAATCCTTCACAAAGATTCTTTCACAATGATTTCAATTATTTCACCATATATTTCCTACTTAACACAAAAACAGACACGAAGCCATGTAGAACATAAACAAACTAATTATGCATTGAATTTGCCAAGTACACAAAACGAATATATATCACGTGTTGCAATAAAATACATAAACAAATAATAAATATAAGGAAGAATTATATTTCAACAAATTCAATGTGCGATTAATGATAAAATTTATTCAAAGCATTATGTTTTTATTTGGCGCTCCGTTCATTTGTTCCGAATTACAGAAACAGCCTTTGAAACTTTAGGTGTTTCGGAAAAATAATAGATATTAGGGAGATTTTGCACTTAATTACTTTTGCACTGGTTTAACATTATGGTTGTCTAATTGCGCCAGTTCGATAAGAAACTAGGTATATTTTCTCTGTTTCAAAACTATAAATTATATTTATTTTGACTTATACAATTTAGTTAAAAGAAGTTAAATAAACAATAGAAGTACAATAATTTTTAATTTTAATAATAAAAGTACGCTGCATTCTTTATCGCTGAATGCATCAAAATCTATAATTTACCAAATTTTTCTGCTTACGTGGAGAAAATTTTTTTGAATCGTTTGCTAAAGCTTTAAAGAAATAGTCTACATCCATTGTAAATGTTTGCTTTGATTTTGCTGACAAAATTTAAATGATATTCACTTCGTTAGCGTTTTTAACTAACAGATTTTAACAAAATCTCTTATTTTCACTTACGTAAATTATATATTTTTTTCACGATGCGCATGCGCAATTACTTGGTATGTAACGTACTGGAGCGTATGGAAGGTAATGTAAGTTTGAGAAATCTCACTAAAAAGGTACAAGTATGACAAATTAAACGCATAATAAATATTATTTATTTAATGGAAGAAATCTAAAGAACAAATAAGAAGTTATAAAACACATAACAACAAGAGTTTCATTTATTTCAATGTTTTTATTCAAAACTAAAGACATAAATTTCGAGATACCCTACATCATAACACTAAATTCACAAATTTGCATGATCAAACTTAAAATCTACAGATAAATGTTAATGCTAATAACGTGCACAGTTGTAAGCAAAGAAAAGTGCTTTAGCTGCCTTATAATATAACCAATTTTTTTCTTTTTGTTTTTTATAGAACAAATTGTTCTTCCCTTTGATGACAAATCCACGAAAACACATAGCATAAAATAGTCAAGAAGCTATAACAAAGTTTTGTTGCCAGCAATAAAAGGTTGATAACAACCATTCGAACTCAGGTAATACGAGAAATTAAAGAACTCACCCTTATGTGAGCGGAATTAATAACAATTTTTTTGTAATTAAAATAATTAATGCTATTCTTAATTAACTGGCTAATAAGGTTTGTAAAAAGTTTAAATGTCATGTCACTCGTTATAAATAAAAATGGAATCAGTGTGGTTTTGCCTTAACTAAACAACATATTTTAAGATGATTTTCAGCATATTTTAAGATTAACAAGTTCAGCTTAATTCAGGAATTCTGGAAAAACTTTCCAAGCAGTCATTAGAGCATTTTAGAACTCACCAAAAGATAATAAAGTAGTGTCTGGCGATTTCGGAGTTTTGATATCGTGGTATATTGTCGTACAATTTTTTTTTTATTTAGTGATATACCGGGGTATTTTTCTAATTTTAATAACTACTTTTTTTTAAATTCAAAATTTTTCACTTCTTAAATCGAGAAGAAAAAAAAAGTTTTTTTTTTCAAAATGTCTTATAATTTTATCCATAATTGAAAAATTAGCTTTGAAATACTCTCACTTATAGCATTGCGGTCTATAAATACCTCAATACTTATTGCTGTTGAAAATCACCATATACTCCATATTTATCGTTGTCAATATTCGCTATTCATCCTAAAATATATAGTGTTCATGATAAATCGTAGAAATATGCTTTACAATATCGTTATCACGATATTTAAAACCATCAATATTTCACGATATATGAATACCTCATCTAGCTCTAATGGAGATACAATTTACTTGCGGCAAAAAGTTAATTGCATAATTAAGCTTTTGAATTTATATTATTACTCCCGTTGTAAATAAATGACAGATCTTCTCGTAAAAAAAAAATTGAATCAAAAAAGTCTCCAAATTCTTAACCAATTTAAATGGTAACTATATATTACTATATATTTAATATAACTATATATTTACAATATATTTACTATTAATATATCTTTACTATATATTATATATTACCACATTAGCAATATATTTACTTCGTTATGTGTCTTAAGACTCGTATTAGCCGTGACTCTTTCAATAATATTTCATACACACTTAACACACTCTAGAGGTATTTAAAAGCATTTCATTTATTATTCCTAAGACTTGCACCTGTATATACCAAAATAAAATTTCAAATTAACCCTAAACCACAAAAAGTTCATGACGTCATCTCACAAAAGATGACTGTAAACATATCGAACGTAAGGAGTTTGCATGTGTTGGCGAACGGCGGCTCCTTTGGCGATGGCAACAGCGTGTGAGGAGGGCACAGGACTGGAATTGTACACCAAAGCTGGCAACAATGGAAGATGATTTAATCCTGGGAAAGAAGAAATAAACATGTAATTATATCATTATCTTGGGTATGTATCACTTTAATTTATTTTTTTTTAAAATTTGCCAATTTTTCTATAATAATCAAAACTCTATTTTTCTAATATTGTTTTTAAAGAACTATTCATCTGGTTTTGTTTAAATGTTAGATTTTATAACATATTATTTTCGCATTTAAATGGTTTTTTGTAACTTCCAATACCCTTTCGACTATATTATTGAGATATTATTTTCGGATTTACAATATTTTGACCGCCATAATTTGAATTCGTAATTGTAAGTTTTAACATATATTTTGTGACGTATGTTATCGCACGCATTAAATTTATAAATATATAAGATATGCTCCTTGATTATTAAGATTGCCTTTCAGTTTGTTTAAATCCATCCGTTAGATCAAAAATTACTCAAGTGTTACGTTTGAACACTTGAGAAGTAGAATATTGTTTGAAAAATCCATTTTATAACAGCCGACCCAATTTTTGAATTTACGACAACTAATGTTCAACTCTGTAGGTTCAAAGCTTCGTAATGTTCAAGACTTGTAATTTTGAACCCAATCCAGAAGACAAGGGAATTCCTGGATCAAATATAAGGCGAAATTTGCCTGCTTGGAGGCCTTTTTGATGGAACTAACCCGTATTCGCGTTACATGAAGAGCAAAACCACGAAAACCACCAACGATTAGTCTGACAGCAAGGGGACTCTAACCCATGATCCATCTACCACTAAAGATATTTTACGTCAGCACTATAGTTGATGCGAAAATTCGTATCGATCAGCCGTCACTGGGATTCGAACTCGGTTTACCTCATTGGAAGGCGAATGCTCTATGAATGATGAATAAATTTCAAATAAATTAAGTATTTTACTTAGTTTCTTACCAAATATTACTGGCACATTAAGCTTGTCTAATTATTTAAAATGCATGCATAAATACAATTTAAGACTTTTTAGATTTTATTTCAGCAGGTAACTCATTGGGCAAATTTTTTCTGTTATGTATTCATTTAGGGAGCATCACAGGTATTTAATTTTTTTTTTAAATTTATTATTATTGTTACCGTCGTTGAACAGCCGACCCAATTTTGGGTTTGCGAGTACTAATGCTCAACTCCGTAGGCTTGTAATTTTGAACCAATCTAGAAGACGAGGAAACTCCTGGATCAGTACCCCCAGAGGTATGATTTGTTATGGGAACGTGGAGAACTTTGTGACTCAACAGATTTAACGTGCATCAGTCACCATTTACTACACTGTCTGTCTTCGGTAGACGGGGATCCAGCCCACACCCTCTTGGACATGGGTCCAGTGCCCTACCAACCAAGCTATCCCGGTTCAAAGGCATTTCATTGCTACATTTTGGTCACATCCTACCTATTTAATATTGCATTTTCTTTCCAGCTCCGCTTAGTATGATAAAAAAAAAATTTTAAAAGCACTGTAGATTTTATATATTTTTTTTATTTGTTCGCAATGCCAAATTTACTAGCTCTAAAACACATTTTTTTCCTGCTCCAAAATGGTTTCGCTACTGTTCCATACCTGTAATTTAAATAATTAACTACGCAGCGCAAATAAAAAATTGTACATCAATTTTAATGCAAAATGATTTTAAAACTAATGATCGCATCAATAACTTTCTTGATATCAGCATATCTTAATTCAAAAATAAAACTAGTAAGCATAAAGACACATTCTTTTTAAGCAAACGATTCATTTTCGACTAACTTTAAAAATCGTTTTCTAAATTTCTTTAGATACTTCTATTTTGAAATAAAATGAACAATATTGAAGCACTTTTTAGATTTTCAACAATAGATTAGTATTTTAAATTATAAGAGAATAAGCTTGAAGAGGAATTAAATTGGGAATAAGCTAAAGAAATCCTTAATTTCAGCTTGTTGTAATAAAGAAGCATATCGAAGAATAATAGAATAAAAAAGAGAGTAAGTTAACAATAAGTAATCCTTAAAGTTTGTTTATTGTAATGCAGAAATAGAATAAAGAAGAAGAATTCGACAGAGAATAAGCTACGAGATCTTTAAGGAGTTTGTATGGGAGTTTGAGTTGAAGAATATAAGGAGATAAAATAAATAATCCCTAAGTTGAAAGATTCTAACGTGACTTACCTGAGACAATCATAGAAGAAGAATGCAAAGATCTACCAGGCAGCATGAGGGGTTGTTTTCTAGTGTCGAATGCTGACAATCCTTGGGTCTGTACCGAAAATGACTGTTTGTCGGCGTAGACTTGAGACTTCAAATGCGATTCAGATTGAATACCTCCGTGATTGCCAACTTGCATGCCGCTGCTGTAGAAATGCTGTTGCTCTCCACTTGGCTGCTGTTGGAAAACTTTCTCTTGGCTTTTCTGAGATTGAGCGCCATTGAAAAGAATTTGCTGATCGGGGGAAATTTGCTGATTACCGAAAAATTCTCTCTGCTCAATTTCTTCTTGGCTGCTTCCATAGACATTTGGTCCTTGCTGCTGCATGTCTTGGTTATCCATGTACTGTCTTGGTGTGTTTTGGTTATCTATGTACTGTCTTGGTGTGTTTTGGTTATCCATGTACTGTCTTGGTATGTTTTGGTTATCCATGTACTGTCTTGGTATGTTTTGGTTATCTATGTACTGTCTAGGTGTGCTTTGGTCATCTCCATAAAATGATTGCTGTTCATATCCACTCTTCCTGTTTCCAAACTGCTCTTGGTTCTTGTCCCCGGAATAGAACTGGTCGCGGCCAGGAAAAATGGGTTGCCCGTTGAAGTTGTCGAATCCGGATGGGGCAACTGGATGACCAGATTGGAACATATTTTGTTCCGTTTTTAATCCGGAGCTGTGGAGGAAGGCTGGAGATTGATCTTCTTGGGAATGGAATGGACGTGAAGACATTTTTTTCTCGTTCATGATTGACTTTTCTTCTTTTCCCGTTTTGATTCTTAAGGGGGCGAAGGTTTCGGGATGTACTCCGGTCGTGCTTTCCATAATAGATGAAATAGTAGACTGAAAATTGATAAATCTAATTTCAGAAGTTAATGAAATGATCGTTTGAAAAATTCATACCAACACTGATTATTAAAATATCCAAAATTTGAGAATTATTCATTAATTAATTTGTACATATTCACATAGAGAAATTTCGACAAACAGGTGATTTTACTTAAAGAAGTTTAAAAACTAAACTTTTTTAAACATTTTATAATCGTCGCTGAACAACCCAATTTTTGGTTTTACGACTACTAATGTTCTACTTCTTAGCCTTGAAATTTTGAACGTAATACAGAAGACAAGGGAACTCCTGGATCAAGTATTGGGAGAAATTTGTCTTCGTGCAGAATTTTTTGATGGAACTAACCAGCATTTGCGTTACATGGAGAGGAAGGCTAAGAGGACCTCCCACGGTAAGCCTGACAGGCAAGGGTACTCTAACCCATGATCCGTCTACCACTGGGGATATTTTACGTCAGCACTATAGTCAGTGCAAGCCGACTGCGGAATTCGTATCGACCAGACATCGCTGGAATTCGAACCCGGGACACCTCAATGGAGAAGATAGCTCTATTCTGGGCCATCACGGCTCAAGTTTAAACATTTAAATTATTTGTCATTTTATAGTTTATTCGTTTCAGGAATATGTTGTACATAACTAAAAAAAATTTTTTTACTTGGCTTACGGCATTCAAAAGCTTAATTATTTCCCTCGGTAAAAGAGCTTCAAAAAGTAGCTTTGAAATAAAAATTAGATCTTTCTTTTGGAAAATATCTTAGGATTCCCTAAAAACAACTTTTACATAAACCAAATAAACACAATTGCACTTTTAAGTATGCAAAAAATAAATATCGATTTTACAAAAAGTTCAGCAAGGTTGTTGTTCAAATTTTCACCATGATTTTTTTTCCTGCGTCAAATTTTTATTTAAATACATACCCCTAATAATTTTTATGTGACAATTTTGAATATAAAATGGTGGATGTAATTTTTTTCTTCTTTAAGAACGAGTTACTAATAACCGACTTAATGTAAAAACTGCACAGCATTACATTCATACGAATTTTGTATTCATACAGTATAACATTCATGTAGTATAGCAATCATATGGTATTCATATTCATATAGTTTTGCAATCATGTAGTATTACATTCATATAGTATTCACATTCATATAGTTTTACACTCATATAGTATTCACATAATAACAAAAACTAAGGAATCAAGTAAATAAACTAAAAAGATTAAATTAAAAAAAATAATGAATACCGGCTTTAATCCGATAAAAACTGAATTTGAAATCTTAAGCTTCCCCATTGCAGCGAATGACCCCTATAATGATGAGATAGATTTTGATTTTTTTTCGCTTAAAATTATAATTTCTGACTCCTTATGTGTAGATTTTATGACTGGAGTTTTGACAGAAACGTTGAAAAACGAAGTTTATCGTACATTTTGCATTATTAAATGGTTGCGATAAGACATTGAGCGCATACGTCACAGTAAGTGTCCGAAATCAAGAAAATGTCGAATTTCACTGATGAGTGTCAACAATCCCATAGTCGCTTTGGTTAATGTCCAAAATATGTAATGTCCGATATGATATCAATTTATCACTATTTATCAATTCGTTGAAGCACCAGTGTTTGGAGTATTGGACAAATGTATACCGGGCAGTGGTACTGAACCCTAAAACAACAACAGTGTAGGGTTTACTAAGCAAATGAATACCGAGCAGTGGCACTTAACTAGACCTAGTATTTAATTAAGACATTTAACACAGGGACTGTAAGATTGTCAACATTCACCGGTGGAAGTCAACAACCGCCTATTTCCGTCATTCTCAGAAACATATATCTCAAATGATAAGTTACTTGGATCGAGTATGTTACTCAAAGTTAAAATCGAGTGAAAGCATCATATTACTTACCTGAATGTCAAAGTTCTTCTGGTCATTCTTTGACTCTAAGCCATTCACCTCATATTTCAGGGTGGCCGAATGTGCCACTGTCAGACCACAAACTATGACAATTATCTGAAATCATGAAAAACAACTGTAAAGATTTGTGTGGTTAGGTTATTTTTTTTATATATAAAAAGAGTAATTAGCCTATTAACGAACTTGTCTCTGTTTTCTAAAAAATAATTTGTATATTAATATAAAATATCCTAAAGCCAACCGAAGTCAAGCGTCACTGGCTGCGGTCAGTGTGCGGGTAGGTGACCACTTGGATCAGTCTGCGTATGGACCGAGGGTGTGCGGTATTGGTCCTCGTTAAACTGTGCTACCGTAAAGTGCTCGATTTCGCGTGCAGGTCGTCCGGCTACCGAAGCGGGGGTGCCATCCCCTCTGCAGAGGATCAAAATTGTGACGGTATGTCTTCGGATCATCCTCAGGGATGTTTTCCATACCGTCGCCGATAGCCCATTGTGCAGCTCTAGTGCGACGTAAATGAACTACAACTACAACAACCTAAAACCAACTGTAAAATTACTAATTTTTTAACCGAAAAATAAATGCATTATTTATATAACATATTAATTTTATAAAATGCAACGTGGTACGTATTAGAATGAGTTATAAATGACCTCCGCATTGAGAGTACGCAAAAAGAAAATGTCAACCTTGTTCTGTATAAAGTTCAAGAGGCAATTTTGGGCCATTTGTGCCAGCGAAAAGAATAAGCAGGACAGCTGATAGTTCAGAGTTATGAAAAATGAGGAACTACATGAAAAAGCAATACAATTTTTAAGCAATATTTTGAGTACTGTTGAGGCTATTTTCTTGATTAATTTATTCGTGAAATTTTGCGCAAGGTTGCAATTTTCGTTAAATTTTCCATTTTAAGAATCAGCTTATGTAGCATGATACGTAAATTAAACGTAAATTTTTGGGAAATTGGTAAAGTCAATACACTTTGGTATATTTTGCGCAATATTAACGGAATGGATTTTACAAAAACTATCCTTTCGGTAAGATTGTTTTCGCATATTTTAACGAAAGATAGACGGAAGAATATTCACTATTTACTGTTCAAATTTCGGTCCGAATTTATTTAAGCAAATTTTCTGTTTTTTTGGAAAACCACTTTTTTCTATAATTCGACGTTTCAACTTAATGTTGACGTATTGTTGACTTAAATATTATGTAAAAATAACATACTTATTCTTACCTGGTAAAAAATGGTTGGTAAAATATTCTTAAAAGAAACGAATTTGTTTGCGTAAAGTTTTTCATAAATTTTCCGCTTTTTGGAAAACCATTTTTTGATTTAATTCGACGTTTCAGCTTTATATAAATTTTACGGATACTTAGTAAAATTTAAAGGTGAAATATACGCATTTCTGACGAAAAATTACTACCTGGAAATTTGGCTGATCAGCTTAATTTAGCGCCTATAACCTTTTCTTTTACTTTTTTCCCCTTAAAATCGAAGATTTATACCGACAGTCCCAATTTGGAAGCACTATATTATCGAATTTCTGTCATATTAATGCAAAATGGTGATTAAAAATTTCTGCGAAAACAATTAGTCGTCAAATTTTTTTTAGATTAAAACATTTTTTTAATCTAATTTGCTACTTACAAAAATTATGGGACACCTCATAAAAAATTAAACAAGCACTCTATTGTATATCATGAAATAGGTTAAGTAGAGAGAACGTTTCTCCTTCAAAAAAATTAATTTGAATAACAACATTGAGAATGTGTGTCTTTGATTCAAATAAATAAAGTATTCAACCAAAATACCGATTCAATATAGGGCATTTTTTAACTAGAAAAACTTTATTTAACTCGTATTTTAAATAAACAAGTTTCCAAAAGAAAATTGTATACAAAAATTTTATTTAATTTTTTTAAATAGAATTTTTTAATTTAATTCGTTTTAAATGCTTAATTTTACGATACATCAAGGTTCATGCAGTTTAAAAAGTTATCTTTAAATCCCATAACGAACTTATAAGATATTCAACGTAATAATAAGATCTGAACTGTTTAAGCAGTTAGGATAGTTCGTTTAAAGCCCAATGGAGTGCTGATAGCTAAATAATAATGCCTAAAAAGTTTAAATAGTTTCAAAAATTCTCTTTAAATTCCATAGTGAACTACGGAAAGTTATATATGACTCTTCTGATATAGTCACAGTAAAAAGGTGAAATGTTTTAGAACGCTACCTTTAAATCTAATTGTAAGCTACAGAAAGAATCGCAAATTATTTGTAACTATTAATAACATCTAAAAATTTAATTAATTTAAAATCTTTTCTTTGAAATCTATAATGAGCTAATGAAGGTACAGGAAGTTATTTATGATTTAAACTCAGAACAGCACTTAAAAATCTCAATTAATTTGAAAATTGTTTCTAAATTATAGAAGAAACTGGTAATTTATAATAAATTATAGAAAAAACTAATTTATAATAAAGTGCATTGATAAATGTTCGCTTAAAATCCAATGTAAAGCTACAAAAAATAATTTATGACTAAACCGAATAACAGTTTAAATAGTTTCAAAAATTCTCTTTAAATTTTATAGTGAGCCGCAGGAAGTATCAACGTTATTTATGACCCAATCTAATAATAAAACTTAAGAAGTTTATTTAGTTTAAAAAATCGTCTTATTTTAAACTATAGAAGGCATTCCGAAAGTTGCTTATGACTCAACTGAAATAATAATTTATGAATTATTTAGTTTAAAAAACCTTTTATATGTAAGCTACAGACGGTATTCCGAAAGTTGCTTATGACTCAACTTAAATAATAATTCATTGATTATTTAGTTTTAAAAGTCATCTTATGGTAAACTACAGAAGGTATTCCGAAAGTTGCTTATGACTCAACCTAAATAATAATTTATGAATTATTGAGTTTAAAAAATCGTCTTACATAAACTACAGAAGGTATTCCGAAAGTTGCTTATGACTCAACCTAAGTAACTTATAGTAAATTATTATTTATGAATTATTTAGTTTAAAAAAATCATCTTATAGTAAACTACAGAAGGTCTTATAGTAAACTACAGAAGATATTCCGAAAGTTGCTTATGACTCAACCTAAACAATAATTTATGACTCTTTGTGCTTATCTAAAAGTGCATTTCTTACCGCAGCGTTCATCATCTTCGTACTATCAGAAAACACGACTTCAGTTCAATGTTGATTTCATGACAGGAAGCCTGCTCTTATATACTGAAGTTCTCTTTGGAAAATTATAAAAAAGAAGTTCCACCTAAACATATTTAAAATCTTCTTTTTGATTTTTCACGTCATCTATTCAATTGTCTTGGAGAGTTCATCAGGGCCTTGAAAAAAGCTGCCACACCTTGAAAGCGATTCCCCCTCTTTCAATCCCAGATACTGGTCAGTATAGATTACATTGAGAATGAAATCAAGAAATATTTCAGACGTCTTCAAAACGCAGAAAAAATATACATATTACCTTGTATCTGACAATAAAGTGAAGCAGAGAATAATATATTATAGAAAAATTATTTTCAGTAATTGACTTTTTAAATCCATCCAAACAGTTCTTCTCTATATAGTTCTTCTCTATACAATTCTTCTCTATATATTTCTCTCTATATGATTCTTTCTATATATTTCTCTCTATATGATTCTTTCTATATAGTTCTCCTTAAACTATATTTTAAGGTAGAAAAAAACACTCATTTCTGCTTTGCTTGGAACTTGGTAATCATGTAAGAAAAGGCCTTAACGATAAAAGTGATCACATAAATTACAGAAAAATTATCTTCAACTAATTAACTTCTTTAGATCCTTCTAAACAGTTCTTCTCTACATAGTTCTTCTCCATATAGTTCTCTATATAGTTCTCTATATATTTCTCTCTATATGATTCTTTCTATATAGTTCTCTTTAAGCTATATTTTAAGGTAGAAAAAACACTAATTTCTTCTTTGCCTGGAATTTGATAGTCATGTAAAAAATACCTTAACGAAAAAAATGATTATGTGAATTAGAGAAAAATTATCTTCATTAATTGATTTTTTAGATCCATCTAAAGTTCTTCTCTATAACGTTCTCTCTACATAGTTCTCTCTACATAGTTCTCTCTAAACTATTTTTTAAGGTGAAAAAAAACACTTGTTTCTGCCTTGTTTGGGACTTAGTAATCATGTGAAAAATTCCTTAACGAAAAAAGCGATTATACATGCTTAGAACAAAGAAATATTTACTTCTTTCATATACCATTTCAATTCTCAGAAGTTAAAGTATGTAAAATAGTGAAACATTTGCGCTATTGTCCTAAAATTTGTGGTATGAACAAATGTAGTCATAGATAAGTATTGCTTCTAATAAAATGCGTCATGAATTTCTGATTTTCCAATTACTTAAATGAAAGTACCAATTGCTTGCTTATAGTTCCAATTGCTAATCCGTATCCTTGTAATGTTGAATAAGCAACAAACAATTTACTTTTTTGAACTCGTATTTGCATTACACGAGCAAAGCTATCACGAAAACATCCCATGGTAAGTCCGACTGTAAAAGAGCTTTATACAGACGAATAGAAATTAGAATTTATAGAGATAAGAAATTACATGATTTCTAGTAAAAATTTAAAGTTATCTTTGGTCCATTTTATTTTTAGATGCTTCTTATATCTTATGGAATTCAACTGATACTGAAAATGTAATAAAATTCTTCAAGTTAAGTTGCGTAAAAATAAAAAGTTTTCTTTTTTCTTAAATAAAAATGACTTTTAAAAATTTATTTTTCAATTTTTGTTAAACAATTATTTTGGTTTTACCATGCGTTTTTATTTACTAGAAAATTAGTCTTCAATGAATTGGTAAAAACATTAGAATTACTCATGTTATATAAAATTATATTCGTTAGAAAATGTTTTTGATGTGAATAAATGAGTGAATGGATTAATATGTTTTTATTAAAACATATATTCGTTGGAATATTTGTTTTAATAAAAACATATTAATCTATTTAATAATTTACCAATTATATTAAGCATGCCAGTAAAATATCTTATTTCTCTACAGTCATCTTTGAATTTTATTCTTTTGACAGTTACACAGTTATCTTGAATTTTATTCTTATCTTTGAATTACGGTTTTATTAAATTCGTATAAATACCTATTTTAAATTCTGTATTCCATAATTGCTTAAGTATCGTATTAATTTAGTTAAATATAGATTTATGAATAAGAGTTTTTTTCTCCTAAACGAACACATATCTTTAATGAACCAGTCAGTTCCAATAGTTACCAAAATTTTCCCGAATTCTGATTCACAAGATTTAAACATGTCTTTCATAAAACAGTTTCTGCTTGATTATTAAGAAACTGATGGAATACATAAAGTTCCAAAATTTCAATCATTTTTATGAATAATTTTTAAGTCACTGAATATGATTGTGTGATAGTATGGTTGTATGGTGGTATGAATATGGTGGTATGGTTGTATATGAACGTGTCTTACCCGATAAAAGTTGCCTGGTCCGGGTGCTTGGTACCAGATTTGGAAACAGAAAAATCATGTGGGATACCGGGTCTAAAAAAACGGTAAAATGAGAACACCGGATAGTAAAATATTTTTGTCGGATCAGGGTGCTGAATGGGTACTCAGTACATAAACCTATATTATTTATTAACTCTATGAATCATGTACTGAGAGACTACTATTATAAGCACTTAGGTTGAACAGCGGTGGCTCATGTGACAGAGGGTTCTCCTCACAATGAGGTGTTCCAGATTCGAATGGTTGATACATGGCTGGGTGCTGACGTAAAATATCCTCAGTGGTTGACGGATCATGAGTTAGAATTCTTTTGCTGTTGGGATAACTATGGGATTTTTATGCGTTTTTTCTCTCCATGTAACGCAAATGTAGGTTAGTTCCATCAAAAAGTACTTCATGAAGGCTAGGTTGTCAAAATGCTTGATTCCGGAGTTTCATTGTCTTCTGTGTTGGGTTCAGCATTAAAAGGCTACGGAAAGGAACAATTGACATAACAAACTCAGAATTGGATCGGCTGTTCAACTCTGGTTACAAAATAAAATAAAAAAATTAACTTGAGTTTTGATTTATATGAGTATTTATGTGGGTACTTATTTTCATTACATTTAATATTTTCGGAATTATCTTTCTACCTCGGTTAGTTCTGCGCATAACATAAAGAGTGCCGTTTTACAATTCAAATAAGTGTACTTTGTATCATATCATTTAGGAAGGTTCCCTGGTTTTAAGTTTTTATTTTGTTACATTTTAAGAAAATTTTTAGCTATGCCCGTCTATGATGTATTATAGATCAGAAATATCTTTAGAAATCTATAATAATTGTCTAGTTTTGGCCCTCTTAAAAAGGGGATAGTTTTAAATATTCCTTTTAACTATTAAAATACTTCTTGAAGCAAGTTAAGTATGAAAACTGCAACTCAGAAATTTAAATACTTTGCAAGCACTTTATTTTGCTTAAGAGTGTGTAAAAAAAGTATGTAGTTTCGATATTTTCGAACGTAAATATTCTAAATTCCTTTTTAGTTAAAAAAAAAAAAAGTATATAGTTTCGATATTTTCAAACGTAAATATTCTAAATTCCTTTTTTAGCTTAAAGACACAAACAATTGTGAAGGCACGTTAACGTATGGTAATTTTTATTCAAAATGTACTGATTTTAAAGCATAAAAATTTTAGTTCTATCACAAACTATAAACATCTATTTTGAATCTCAAATTAGTGTGTTTCATAGAATATCTAGAAGCAGTGTTGCATCTAGTTGTTGCATCTAGTTGCTAGAACAGTGTTATATCTAGAATCTTCCTTTAAACACTTCCAATAATATCAATGCCACAACAGACAAAATTTAGATATGTGTTAATGATTAATTATGTACCATAGAATTTCAAATAAAATTCAAACACATTTCTTAAAAAAAAGTTTCGTAATGTGTCTCAGAACAAGGAAAAAGAAAATTGCGACTATTTTGACATCTGACCAAACCCACAACAGAGAGGGAAATACGAGCCGCGTTGGCAAAAGTATCACTTGTGACCCGCGTTGTTCAAATATCAAGCTCGTCCTTGGTAGAACTAGATCACCGACTCAACTGTCGCTTTCGTTTATCGTTCATTAATGTCCAATGATGGTTTTTTAGGGAATAAAAATTTTAAGAAATCGGCAATATAAAATACGAGTTCGAAAGTTCTAAACATCATTCTCTCAGTCTGTCTTAGGTGTGAATACCCCATTCTTCTAGACGCAGCCATGAAGGTAAGATTATTTAGAATTTGGATATAATATTAAAATATTTGAGGCCTTTGTACGCTAATATTAGTCTACATTTATAGTTGAAAAATGCAGAAAATTGAGAAGATTTAAGTCATTTTTAAAAAATTTAGATTTCTTGGGGGAAATGAAATTCTTAGCTATGCAACACTAAACTTAGTCTAAAGTTCTCAGATCTCAGTAAGTTAAAGTAAAGTAATCTTTGAGGGTTTTTAGACTTAAGAGAGTTTCATTCGAGAAGATACACGCCTTAGAAAGCCTTACTTTTAGCAGAAAAATTAAAACTCCAAAAATGTAAATGCTACGATGCGAACAATAAATGTTAGAAATTATTAGATTTTTGCCAATTTTTTTTCCAATTAGCGAAATTTAGTTGACAACAAAACTTTTTAATCCTGAAATGCCTTTTTTATGTTTAAAGTATTCTAAAGAAAAAGCTTAAAATTCGATAACTTTCTGACAGAATCTTTTCATTATTTTTCAGATAGTATCATAACATTCAATTTTATGCAATTAATACGCAATAAATTACTTAGCATGCAAAATAATTTTGAAAAATGCAAAAATTGCAGTGATGGGTTAAGATTAGCTTACAAATTTTTTCTGCAACTTGAAATCTATTACTATTTACGTGAGTTACGAATTTGTTGCCAAAGAATGTGCCGTAATTATTCTAAAAGAAGTTTTAAATTAAAAATCAAGTAAAAAATGTTTCTAAAATTCCGTTCTTCCGGGAATCGTTACTGAAACAATCGTATTTTTCTCAAAACTGAAAATTTTAAATCAGTTGTGGGCATCGCAGAATTACTTAGTTATTAGTTTCAGTTTTCAGAAAAGTTTAACAGAGAAACAATTTGATTTTAAAATGTTTTTAAGATAGGATCAGAAGCAATTAATACGCAATTAATTATTTCTTAATTATTTTTTAATTATTTCTTTATGTCACACTGTTACAAGCGTATAACGCTTTTAGGAAATATTGAGGAACCAAATTCTTTATAGTAAATCGCTTAATATAAAATATTTTTGTAATTAATATTTAGGTTAGAATTTAGGAAATTAGTAAACGTTTTCGAGCATTTTGGTCATAGTTTTGTACTACATTTTTGTTCTAACACCATTTCATTTATTTAAGTTAGATAAAATGGCTGTACTAAAAAGATGAGAGCAAAAATTACTTTCTATATATGTTGCTGTTATCGCATTGTACGTTATCCTGTAAGCTTACATACAGAGTGCAATGAACGATTTTTAGAATCAGGGCAACAACAAAGTAAATAATTTTTAAAAAAAAAGATAATTATTAAGATTAACGCACAATTAACATCATGAATTATAGTTATGTGTTAGTTTATTTTAGTTAAATCTTATGTTTAATGAACTTAAGCATTCTATGTACTTTATTCTCAAGGTTCTGTCAAAAGAAAGTTCCATAGCCGGGGAAAAAAAATTGGAACGGTTGATCTTAGAGACATTTTAAAACAAAAATTGGAATTTTTCATGAAAAAGAGTTCCATTTTAGCTTATTCTCACGATACAACATTATTATTTCAAGTCTTCATAATTCTCGTATCTGAGTTGATTAAGTTACTAAATAACAATCTTTGAATGTTTGCGGTGTGGACAAAAGTTCTAAGTGCATCGGATTATTGATACCTTAAAAAACCTCTAAGCATCAAAATTAAAATATCAAGAAATGAGAAAGTAGTAACGCGAATAGTTTAAATGAGTTTTATATGCAATCGGACCTCTATGTAACGAAGTCTCTAAATCCAAATAAAAAGTTCGCTATATGGAAAATTTGTTAAAGAGAAAATCATCATTTGAAATACTTAAACAACACAAAACAGGTTTTAAATTCATGAACACTAGTCATAATTAAAATAGCAATTGTAAATTATTATCTGCTATTTATTTTATTAAACTTAACCATAAAAGAAGTATGCATGGGAATTAAGAATTGAACAAAACATTATCCAGCATTACACTATCACGCTACATACATTTTCAACTAATAAAAGCTAAATGTCTTGTATGAAATGCAAACAATAAGGGAAATGAATTTTACTGCTTTCTCTACAAGTTAAGTGTCTGCAAAAATCAATTTAAGGTCACTTATATAAAATGCGTTAACAAGTTTGAAATGTTCTGAAATATTTTGGTAAATAGGAAAAATCTCAATGGAAAGTTCGTTAAATAGGAAATTCACTTCGCTATATGGAAATTATTTTACGAAGAAATTTCCAAAATGTTCTTGGTTTCGCGAAAAAAATTGCAAGATAGAGAAATTAGCAAAATGGAAGTTCGTTCAATAGAAGTCCGACTGTATTTTCAAATTTCCCTCTATGCCGAAGTTGAGAACAAGAAATAAAAACAAGATTATAACCGTTATTTTTTATTGTTAACATATTATCTTCATATCTAATTTACTCGAATTATCTAAAATAGTATCTAAAATAGCATTCCCTCAGTTCTTCAATTATAGAGACAAGGATTATATAAATGATAAGCCACATTTTCAAATTATTCAGGAGAGTGTACTTTATGCATGATTTTAGTGAGAAAGATTACCTAGCGGTAACTTCACAAACTTGTACATTACATAAGTAGTGGTTAAATCAAAGCATTTCTAAAAATTGTGGGACGCATAAGCCAGAGTATCCGAAAATAAGCAACTATATCCAAAGCCTGACAAAGGCATTGGCATACGGGGCAGTTGCCCCGGGCCCCACATCAGAGGGGCCCCCCAAATCGAATAGAAAGTTTGTTTTAGGTTTCTTTTGTTAATGAACTTTTCTTAAACAAAATATCAGTACAGGGTATAATCCGTCAGTTTTATGTTAGCTTCTTCATTAATCTACTAGCATGAACACAAAAAATCCATAATTCGTAAATCCATGGCTTTCTAGGGCGGAATACAGCTGAATTTTTGCAATTACGATGGACAAATTTAGCCACTCAAAAGGCTGCATTTTTTCACATCGCAAAATACGATATGTTTACAAAAATACAGGCTTCTGATGGGTTTAACTGAACCATCAATCGTCATTGTGAAAATTAAGCTGAATTTCGCCCTAATGTCAGCAAGGATGCGAATTTTTCGCAGCTAGATGACAAAATTAACAATCATAAAACTGCATTTGCCATGATGGACATAGAATTGTCAGAAAATCAATAAAATGGACAGAACGATACTTCGTCTGACCATTGGAAGGAAGGGGGGGGNAACGCTTCGAAACCCCGGAGGGAATTATGAATAACCCTGTACTTAAACAACACAAAACAGATTTTAAATACATGAACACTAGATATAATTAAAATAGCAATTGCAAATTATTATCTGTTATTTATTTACTAAATCTTAACCATAAAAGAAGTATGCATGGGAATTGAGAATGGAACAAAACATTATCCAGTATTATACTATCATGCTACATACATTTTCAACTAATAAAAGCTAAACCTCCTGTATGAAATGCAAACAATAAGGGAAATGGAGTTTACTGCTTTCTCTGAAAGTTAAGTGACTGCGAAAATCAATTTAAGGTCATTTTTATAAAATGCGTTAACAAGTTTGAATTGTTCTGAAATATTTTGGGAAATAGAAAAAAAAGTGGTTCTCAAAGAAAAGTTTGTTAAATAGGAGATTCACTTCGCTATATGGAAATTATTTCACGAAGAAATTTCCAAAATGTTCTTCGTTTCTCGAAAAAAATTGAAAAATAGAGATATTCTCAAAACTGAAGTTCGTTAAATCGTAGTCCGATGGTTTTTTTAAAATTTCTCTGGACGCGGAGGTTGCAGACAAGAAATAAAAACAAAGTATAATCGTTATTTTCTATGGTTAACTTATTATCTTTATATCTAATTTACTCGAATTCTCTAAAATAACATCTAAAACCTTCATTCACTCAGTTCTTCAATTATAGAGCCAAGGATTATATAAATGATAAGCCACATTTTCAAATTACTCAGGAGAGTGTACTTAATGCATGATTTCAGTGAGAAAGGCAACAATTGCTGGTGAGCATCACGACATATTTTCATCAATATGCTATTACCTAGTGGTGACTTCAAAGACTTGCACATTACCTATTTGGAAACCATTCCATCCTACCTTAATCCTGACCTATCCTATCTTCCTGAGTCTGACTTATGTAAAAATGTTCTTTTTGGGAAAAAATTTGGCCATTCAAAAGGCTGCATTTTTTCATATCGCAAAATGCGATTTGTTTACAAAAATGCAGGCTTCTGATTGGCTTAAGTGAGCCATCGTCATTGCGAAAATTTAGCTGAATTTCAACCTAATGTGAGCAGGGATACGAATTTTTCGCAGTTTAGATAACAAAATTAGCAATCAGAGAACTGCATTCGACAGAATGGACATAGAATTGTCAGAAAATCAATAAAATGGACAGAACGATACTTCGTCTGAAAATTGGAGGGGGGGGGTACTTCATAGCTATTTCAGGTTGCAGTCAATTTTTCTGTTATATATGTATAATGAGATGAAAAATTTAAATACCTCTATAAAGTTTAATTCCTCATTAATGAGTTAGTGCAGCAGAGGGGGGGGCCTGAGAATTTTTTGCCCGGGTCATGGGAGAAATGTAAAAACATTGATGTAAACAATATATGCACGTTATATTAAATAATTACAGAGTACTGCATAATTATTTGCTAACATGTGTGATTTTATTTCAGTATTACATTATCCTCGCTGTCACAGTCGCTGTCATTCAAGCAGCTACGAATGTTCCATCCTCAAACTTCAGAAATCACTATCCTACTCAATATCAGGTATCCAAAAAAAAAATATCCAATCAGGTATCGAAAGTAATTTTTCGCTACTGATATTTAAACCTAATTATGTTTCTCCACAATAGGGTGACGTCAGTGGTGCCAGACGCGAATCATTAAGAAACCGTGATTTTCAAGAGCTCTATGGTGGACAAAGGGACGGCCGAATTTTGAGTGACTTAGCCGATAGAGATTCGTATCGAAGAGGATACCAACAGAATTTTCCCGAGGTCAGTCAAAGATACGGATACAATTCTCAAGGATCTAGATACAACAGTCCTCAAACCTCCTATCAAGGATCTAGATACAACAGTCCTCAAGGTTATCAAGGTTCAAGATTCAGCGGTCCTCAATCCTATCAAGGTTCAAGATTCGACAATCCTCAAGCCTATCAGGGTTCCAGATACAGCAGTCCTCAGGTCATTTTCACTTCACCTTTGGCTGGAACCAGAAGCTTCAACGCTCCCCTCCACTCAGCTGGAAACCAACTTAACGAAAACAGATTCTACTAAGCTTTGTTCATTTAGTTTGTTAAAAGGAAAATAGTTTTTTAAATGAATATATAACTGCAAAAAAATTAAAAATTTAAATATTTAAATAAACGCTAAGCAAGAAAATCTTTTTAAATTCATTTTAGTGTTGTTCTTCTTTATTTAGGATATTTAAAACATCTATTTCAGAAATCAGTAGTACTGTAGTAGTAAGCCAAGTAGTAGTAATCAGTAGTAGTAAGCCGCTCCACTTGGGGTCAGTTTTCTAAGAAAGATGTCCGAGAAAATTTACCACCACAACATAAAGTTTTAATCTTTTTAATAAACTACGTATATAAGTTTAGGAAAATCATAACAATCTTAATATGTCTTCTTACGTTTATTAGCGAAACTAAAAACCTCAAAACTAGTTTAATTGCCTGTCGAAACTTAACCAATAATCACCTTGCAACACCTCTCCATTTCTCCCCGTCAATCAAACAGGTTTTATGTTTGATTTCAATGTTTATATTTATATTTATAACCGTCGTTGAACAGCCGATCCAATTGCTTTGTTTTACGACTAATAATGTTCAACTTCGGAGCCTTGTGATTTTGAACCCAATTCAGAAGACAAGGGAACTCCTGAATCAAGTATTGGGAGAAATTTGGGGAGTTTTTGATGGAACTAACCAACATGTGACTTACATGAAAAAGAAAACCATGAAAACTTTCCACGGTTAGCCTGGCGGCAAGGGGACTCTAACCCAAAATCCGTCTACCACTGAAGATATTTTACGTTAGCACTGTGGTCATTGCCAGCCGGCTGCGGACTTCGATCAGACTTCGAATCGACCAGGTATCGCTGGGATCGAACCCGAATCACCTCATTGGGGAGGGGCGAGAGCTTTATCTCGTGAGCCACCACGGCTCGTAGTTTTTCACTTCTTTTATCGATTAAGTGATATTAGCATAATCAGACTTGTCATTAAAAGTACTGGGAGCCTTGATGGCTCAGGGGATAGAGCTATCGCCTTCCAATGAGGCGAACCGGGGTTTGAATCCTAGTCGATACGAATTCCGCATCCGGCTTGCACCGACCACAGTGCTGACATGAAATATACTCAGCGCTAGACGGATCCTGGTTAGAGTCCCCTTGCTATCAGGCTAACCGTGGGAGGCTCTCGTGGTTTTCCTCTCCATGTAACGCAAATGCGGGTTAGCTCCATAAAAAAAGTCATCAACGAAGGCAAATTTCTCCCAATACTCGATCCAGGAGTTCCCTTGTCTTCTGGATTGGAAAAATACAAGGCTACGGAGTTGAACATTAGTTGACGTAAACCGATAAAATTGGGTCGGCTGTTCAACGACTGTTATAAAATAAAATAAAAAATTAAAAGTACTAAAAGATATCCCAATAGCTCGTTCAACTTTCGACCTGGTTTCAGGGGGAGAAGTTCTGTTTAGGTGAAGACAAGCTGTAATTCCTTGTATAAAATGCATATATAAAAAGTCATTGCTGTTTCCTTTCTGTCTTAAGAGTGATACCGAAAAACCAATTTCGAAAGTCTGATAAAACTTGGCGATTATAAAACGCATATGCGTTTTATAATCGCCTTCCCTGCTTCATTCCGGCAATCAAAAAGGTTTTCATGCGATTGGTTAGATTTCGATTGCGTTTTGAATTTTCACTACCACTATCTGGGATATGACTGGAAGGACTTAAATATTAATTAGTGATCCCTGATCTAAAATTATATATTAAATTATTATTATATATTTCTCTACTTTTCTAAAATTGTACAGAAGCAGCCACTGCGGATACCCTGCGTAAACAAATACATGTGAAACATTTTCTTCTCTCAACCCAAATCCTATTCCTAAGTTTTAAAAAAAAAATTCATCTTGGTAAAAATTTTGTGTTTCATTGTCACTTATTTGTAAACTATAACAATAGGAATTAAGTGAAGTACACGTGTTACTGTGAAGGACAGAAATAGGTAGTTGTTGACTTCCGCCGGTGAATGTTGACAATCACAATAGTCGCTTTGGTAAAGGTCTGAAGTATATACAAGGTCTAGAAAAGTGCCACTGCCCGGTATACCCTACATCAATGTATTTTAAGGTCATATGGCAATGCCCAGCATGCATTTAAACGGTACTACGAACACTGATGTTTCACCTAATCTATCATCAACAGATATTAAAATATCGAATAGATATAATAATAGCAACGAATAAATTAATCTCAAATCAGATATAAAAAATATTTTAGACATTCGACAAAGCGACAGTGTGATTGTTGACATTCACCGGTGTGAAAGTCGACATTCTCTTGATTTCGGCTATTCACGGTAGCATACACACAAATACTTCGCAATGTATTGCTTGTATTTGCTCATTCTTTAAATGAAGAACAAGGGTTAATGCTTAGTAAGCCAATACTTTTATTAAAATTTGATTATCCACACTCATTACAACAAAAATCAGATGCAGTTTTTTTTCGGTCCCGGTCATTTTACTTCAGAGGCGTTTTCAAATCTTGTCCTGTATGCTAGAATAAAAAAACAAAATTGGTTATTAAAAAAAAGTAATAATAAAGAATATTCGCAAAGTATTTTTAATTTATTTGGAAATCATGAAAGTACGATTTTTTTTCCCTCTCTAGTGTGATAAAATTTGCATTTGGTCATTTTAATTAAACCAGATGTGATTTTCAAAAAGTGGCATTTAAATAGAAACGAATTAAATTGTCCTTATATTATATAAATGTTTTAATTGTAGAAATGTTCAACTGTAAAAGTATATCAGTTTGTAAAAAACTTTTTCACAAATCTAATTTTTTCTTCTATCTATAAGTAAAGAAATTTATTTTCTAAAGAATCCAAGATCATGGTTTTTTTTACAGAGCAAATAAAACACGTTAATCAATGAAACAATAATCTTAATATAGCTACTGTAATTTTAATAATAATACAATATATATATATATATATATATATA